GCAAAACCCATGAATGCTTGTATTTCTTTTACGCATTTGGGAACAGGCCATTTCAATACTCCTTCTACCTTGACGGGGTCCATAGACACACTGCCCTTTTCCACAATCAACCCAAGGAACTCGACTTTAGACTGTTCGAAGCTACATTTCTCAGGCTTCAAGAACAGGTCGTTCTCTTTTAATCGTTTGAGTACTTCTCGCACGACTTTCTGGTGTTGCTCTCTACTTCCATTCGTAAAGACCAAGATGTCATCGATATAAACGACCACTGTTTTGCCGTCTATTAAATCTCTGAATATCTCATTCATCATGGTCTGGAAAGTTGCTGGAGAGTTCGTCAACCCAAAATACATTACGGTTGGTTCGTGGTGACCAAAAGGCGTTTTGAAAGCTGCCTTCCATTCGTCTCCTTCTTTCATCCGAATATTATTGTACCCCCATCGTACATCCATCTTGGAGTACATCGTAGCACCAGTAAGGGCATCAATCAGGTCTTGAGATCTCGGTAGCGGGTACGCATTTTTAACCGTCTTCTCATTAAGCCTTCTATAGTCCATAACAGGTCTTAGTTTGCCATCCTTTTTGGCCACAAAGAAGAAAGGCGCTGCAACTGGAGATTGTGAATCTCTAATACGTCCTAGTGCAGTCTCGGCTTTTAACCAATCTTTCAAAGTGTCCATCTCTTTTGGTGACAAAGGGTACGGTTTCGCGTTCGGAGGAAGATCATTGTCATCCTTAAGATCCACAGCGTGATCCCATTTCTTTCTTTCAGGGAATCGTTTGGACTCTTCTTCTGAGAACACTCCCAGGTAATCGTGAAGCCAGTCTGGAACCATCTCTTCTACAGACTTCTTCTTTTTCGTAGCTTCTTCTGCTACCTTCTGCTCCGTGGCAACCGAGGCTTTATATCTAATCCATCTTTCAGGACTATCTTCGTCTTCTACCTCTTCACAGGTCGCCTTCTTCATCTCCATGTCTTCATCGTCATCCTCTTCTGTGGGAATCAGATCCGGAACTATATCTGTTTGTTTTTGTGTTTTTCTGTTTTCTCTATTTTTTTGTCTTTGTTCTTTTTTCGTAATACATTTAAGTGGACATCTAGATAGTGAAAATTGTCCTGCATTCCAGTCTATTTCTGGATTGTGATATCTTAACCAATCGATGCCGATAATAACATCATCGTTTCCTAAGTCTGTAATCATGAAGGCTGCTTTGTCTTCCACATGATCACCGATCTTTAGACTTAGTTCAGCGAAATGAGTCATCGATCCAGCGGCATTTAAAGAACCATCTATGTTCTTAACCGGAATAGGCCTTAATAATTTACGGCATATTACATCATTCTTCTTCACAAACTTCTCGTTGATAAATAATGTTGATGCACCGCAGTCCACAAGTGCTTTCACGTCTGCTTGTCGATTCTTTCCTTTCAGGGTAATCGGAATGTAAAAATGCTCTGATTTCGATCGCAAATATACTTCTGTTACATCCGAGAACGTAGATAAGATGGAGAAACGATTGTTCGGGTCCAAGTCCGCAGACTCTAACTCAGACCTCTCTAAAAACCCTTATCTCCTTTGGCTTTGACATAGTCTTTAAACCATTGGGGCATCGAGTCTTCCTTTGGCACTTCAGTAGCCTTCACTTGCGCTTTTGGAGCGCCCTTGCAGTTTCTTGCCATATGGCCTTCTTCGCCACAACGGTAGCAGTTGAAAGAACCAGTCTTTCCTTGAGGTTTGGGAGCTCCTCTCTGCTTGTTGGCGTCGACGTCCATGGCGTTACTGTCTCTGGGACCAGCCCTTGGTTCGAAGTTTCTTGCGGCCCTGTTAGGGGTCCAAAAAGAAGTCTTCTTCTTCTCCGCATCTAACTCCTCGAAGTTTCGTCCTATTTGGATCGCATGCTCTATCAATTTCTGCATGTTGTCCTTGTCCTTGTAGGCGATGTGAGCGAGTTGTAACTTGACGCGGTCTTGAAGTCCTGCCCTATACTTTTGGCGTAAGTCATAGTCGGAGAACTTGGTGTGTGCAGCTTTTTGTTTGAAAGTAGCTGTATACTCTGGGACGGTAGAGGATCCTTGTCTTAAGGAATCCAATTCCCGAACTGCCTTGCCTTCAAGGTCTTCTTGTGCCCACATGGCGGTGAAGTCTTCATCTAACTTCTTCATAGTGAGAGTTCCATCAGCATGTTCTTCAATGTAAGATTGCGCCCATTTAGCAGCAGATCCTTTCATGAACGAAAGCATGACTGAGATTCTTTGCCTTTCTGTGATGCTGGGCCATTGCGTCATATAGAGCGCTATTTGTGTTGCCCACATCTTGGCATCGATGGAATCTTTGTCACCTGTGAATTCCGTGGGTTTAGCCATCTTGATTGAGGCTGTGGTGGAAGCAGCGGATGATCCGAGAGATGGGGAAGCGGTGAGTTTGTCGATTTCAGCTTGTTGCATCTGAATCCGTAGAGCTAGATCTTCATTTCTTGTTGATAGCTCGTCATTCTTGTTTTGCAACGCCGTGACTTGACTTTGCCACAGTGCATTGTTTGCGGCGATCTGTTCCTGTACATATTGTACAAACTCCTCGCTGCTACTCAGCATTCTTGGTGCGGTTGGTTCAGACATAGTACCAGTTGTTTTCTGGAACCCGATTTACTGATGTCTGTGAAGAGCTAGTCGTAACGGCTCTTCCGGAAAGGAAAGGTGATGAAAGGGAAGATGGGAAAGAGATACGTAATCTGGAAAACTGAAGCGGTCCCCGATATCTGATCGGATCTACCTCGTACTTCAGGGTCAAAGGGTCCTGGTAAAACCCAACTGACTCTTCCCTAGATACTGACTAAAAAAGATGTGTACGTAACAACTATACTCGCCAAGTGGGAAAACTAGAACGCCAAGGTGCTCTTCCAGCCGAAGCTTACAAGCGACCGAGTCTGGACTAGAAAATTCCTCTAAATACTCAGGTAGAGTAGCCTACGTATCGTACGAAGAAAGGTGATAGGTAAAAAGAAAATTATAGTAACAGTTGAGCAGGCAGGGTCTTGGGCCAGCACTCAAAGTTGTAGTGACACGCCTAATGTCGTGAACACCTCCGTATACTGGCGGCTGCAATGTAAGGCAGGGCCTGGTATAGGACTACTAACTACAAAAGCGGATAGGTATGAATGCGCTCAAGCGAGCAAAGGGGAGAGTGATGAAATCAAAGGTCGCGGTTGTTTAGACCGGGCAAAGTAAAACGTGTAACGGTTCTGCTTGATTGAGGATCGCAGATAATCGCAAGATGCTCAGATCAAGGAGAAAAGGTATGCAAGCGGTAGTGCGTGGAGTCGGAGTCCCCTATAGTTCAAACCTAATGTCACAACCCTTTAAACGAATTAACGCTGGGGCAGAGACTAGGACTCAAACAAAGGTTGTCTAACAAAGAAGAGAGGATAGCAGGGACGTCTTAGGATTGCTAGCAGTAAGCTAATACAAAAGAGGTTTGAACTGAAGAACTACTGACTACAATGAGCTACCTATATACATATATTGAAGCGGAGACTGAATCTGAATCTGAATTAACTAGCCAATCATTAAATAGAAAAGGGAATCGTACGATGTTCTAAATATAACTACACTATGATGTCATGGAACGTGTGATGGCTGTGCAAGGGTTCTCGAAGGTTCTGGAGTCACGTGACTTAATCGCTTGAGTAAGGAAGTCAAAATCAGGAACGTCGGAAATAGAAGTAGTGGGCTGCCAATGGAATAGAGAAGTTCGGGTTAGGGTTTGTAAAGGTTATAGGTATAGACGCTGACTGGGCGCTAATGACAGGCGCTTGTGATGGGCGCTTAACAGGTGTTTTTCGAGTGTTCAAGAAGGAATAATGGTTTGTGTTTGGAATTCGTGACAACTACCATCCCTTAGTCTGGATTGTTTACCCGCAGACCATGTGACTCTGCCTATGGTACTGAAGTCCGCCAGTCAACCATTCTGATAGAGCTGCCAAGTGGTTCGCAATTTATGGGATATATAAGCAAACCTTCGACTCTTCCTATTGCCAGTATCAGAGTTATCATTCGAGATCCCCTCAACGCATCTCAAATTACCTAGCACAAGACATGCGTTTTGCATTCCTCCTCGCTGTTGTTATGGCTTCGACAATATCTATGTCTGTCGGTATATGCACAGATCAACTCGGGACTTGCGGCGTGACTGACCCGACTGCCGACCCATGCTGCAAAGGCCTTAGTTGCAAATTGGGTGTAAGTGTGATCCATCTGCTTTGGATCCGGAATTCAACTCCATGACTTACCCCTTGCGCCTTGTACCATAGATTGGAAAATTGTGGTACTGCCAGTAATACTCTTTTGATTGGCTTGGAATACTGAGCATGTTCACGACAGTGGGTCGTCTTTCTACTTTCACGTTGGCCCAGTGGTTGATCACACAATATATGCAGTTGATCGATATGCTTACTATTGCTGCACGAATTTCCAGGCTGCCTCGAACAGACTCTAAAATAACATAGCATTAGAAAAACTGCCTCGCAAATTGATAAAACATATTCATGTTATGTTACTTGACTTGTGTACTAATGCATGAGAAACTGGTGTATTCAGCCGACATCAAAGTTGTAGCAGATCGTTAAGAAGAAAGAAAGCAACCTTTACCGAAAACGTCGGGCTACACGCTAATGGCAATCGACAACGACGAACTTGCGAGCGTTGAGGCGAACGAACTTCGGCTCTGTACGGACAGTGAAATTGAAATTGAAATCACTGGGGGGCCTCTCGACACATCAGTAAAATTACATGCTCCTTAATTTAACTTATTCGGGACTTATTCTACTTGGTTTGGCGCCCAAGTCCACTAAGACATCCAAGTTCTCGTAAGTCCTCGTTTTGACTTGGAACGTGACTTGAGTGTCTTAGCACCAAGTCGACCAAGACACTCAGATAACTTAAGAGCCAAAAAGTAATTTCAAGACGATGTTAAATTCCAAGCACTCTATGAGTAAGAAATACATTAAGACACCAGCTCGAAAGCATGATGGTCAATAAAATGATTTACATAGAATCCTTGGTAGGCATCTAGAGAATGATGGAATTGAAGGCCCTGAGGCACGAACTGAGTACTGAATATTGGGAGTAGGTGAGTGCCGCAGGTAATGCTGTCAATATGGATAATCAACAAATCATGAGAGCCGTCCTCATTGAAGGATGGCGCCACCATCCACATGCCTGTGAGCTCATCTCGCTCCTCTGCAATCCGAGGGAACCATTGAATGAGGGCACACGGATACATGTGGCCATTAGTAAAAGTGAAAGATAAAAAGCAAAATATCCGAACAATATCCATGCTGAGTATGCCATCCTGCTTGTCATCAATATTGATGAAGGCACAGTCATAGTGGCCTGGTCCATTGCGCCATGAGGGCACAGCATGAATGTGCTTGTGTCACATGCCAGTGATTCCGCTTGGATCGCTTGGTGCGATGAAAGTAGCAGAAGCGGAATGGAGAATCTTGATGTGTCCTGTAAAAGATGGACAGTCATGAAGGGGGACATTGGCGGAAGAATGATTGTCGTCAGCATGAATCTGGTCGTATATAAACAAACAAATGAGACGTGGGAGTGATCGTAAATCAAGTTCATCTGAAAGTTCAGGAATTGTACATGCGCATTTATGTTCTGAATGTCACATTAATGCTTGAAGGTCATCAAAAAGTTTGAAATACGCACGAGCACTTCGTGCTAATTTCACATCAGCAATAATGTCCTCATCATCTACAACACCATCATCCTCAACATCGTTGTAGTCATCAGCTTCCATGGCAAATGGGTTGGTTTCTTTGTGCTGTTGCTCTTCATGGTTGTTATCGTTGTTGTCAATGTCGTCATTTGCAAAATTTGAGTGATTCTTGATGAATTAAAAGCAGATCAAAATCAAACATAAAGCACGTACAAAATGAATTATAGTAGCTGAAAGCACAAGAACCTTTGAGCATCCCACACACTTGAAAATCAACCCTTGCTGCTGCAATTTTGTCCAGGCGCTGATTGGTGAGCAGCATCTGACTGAGTGCCTTGTGTTTGCTTGAGCGTCGCCATGGTTTTTTTACCGCCTTGATATGTTTGGATTTGGTGATGGATGAACAAAGCCCATTTGGGGTGCCAAACAATCGGACAAGAATCTCATAGTGAACAAGGGAGTGTTGTCGGGGTAGGGAAATGTTGAGGCGGACACTGATAGTCTGGAATATGGTGCGGTATTTATGGAAGCACTCAAGGGCATCCTGGAGCTCTGTGAGAGTGTCATCCGTGATCACATTGGCGTGAACAATGTAGCAAAATTCTAGAAATGCTCAAAATGCTCAAACTATGTCATCCGGTACGTGGCCTTTGATTGCTGAAAGATAGACCTAGTAGTACATAGTTGCATAAATGTACACAAAATAAGAAAAGCATAGGACTTACCTTCATTAACACTTTCAAGTCATCACCTGTCCATTGTGAGAATCTGTGCCCTTGTGGAAAACACTGTAGACCAGGGAATGAGGGTGTGCAACAGCAATTCTAGCATGTTGTCAGTTCTCACTGTAAGAAGATGGGAGAAAAGTGCAACTACCTTCGGTCAATATCATCCATAACCTCTGCAGCACCTGCTTTCCATGCTCACGTTCAAGATATTTACTCACCCATTCAACCAGGTGGTCCTTGAACGTGCCTTTAATTAGTTGATGCAGTAAGTCGGGAGCAAGGAGCTGGTAGATGTTGGCATGAGGAAAGTCATTTGTGAAGGGCTATGCAGTGTGATGGTTAGTGACACAATGCATGATTGATGTGCTAGGGTGACATATGTGCCACTAGCTCACCAATAATACCATACTCATCCCAGAGTATACCAAAACTAACCAAATCCACAAGGGCATCAGTGTGCTCGCATGACTGAGAAACACCACCGTCATCAAGGCTCGTAGGAAATGCCAGACATCTGCCAAAGTAAATAGTGAGCCTGTGTATGAAGGAGGCAACAGCAATGTAAATGAAAGCAGATATGAATAAGACGCCCGCGCAGTCATCACTTGGAGATCGCACTATTCAGATGTCAAGTTTCATGGACATGTCACCAATGAAAGTGGAGACAGACACTATGCCCACAGAGTCATCACTTGGAGACCACACTATTCAGATGTCAAGTTTTATGGACATCTTGTCAATAAGACGCCTGCACAGTCATCAGTTGGAGACCGCACTATTCAGATGTCAAGTTTTATGGACATCTCCACAATAAGATGCCCGCACAGTCATCAGTTGGAGACTGCACTATTCAAATGTCAAGTTTCATGGACATCTTGACAATAAGATGCCCACACAGTCATCACTTGGAGACCGCACTATTCAGATGTCAAGTTTTATGGACATCTTACCTTCCACACCAATTTTTGATGATACCTGCCAGTACCACTTGCTCTTCATAGTCCGCAATGTAGGGTCCCAGTCCATAAATAACACGGCAGTAGTGGCCATCACCACACCACATAACTTCCGGAGTTGTCATTCCAGGTTTGAGATTGGTGAAGATTTTTGACAGTGAAGAGTGAAACATCTGCTTCTTGAACTTGCGGAATGTAGGATCATTCATGCCTTTTTTGCTTGCTGCAACAAGTAAGCTTCAAAGTAAAGGATGAGAAAAAAGCTAGTATGTACTCTTGGGGATTGCCATAAATCCAACCAGAGCCAAGGCATGACGATGTGCATGCCGAACATTGTTGTGGACATTCCCAATCAAGAGATAAAGTGGATAGTAGTCATTTTGACCAGTAGCAACAGACACCATTGTCTTGTTGCTACCTAGGATGATGGGAATGAAGGCTGCGCCATGTGTTTGCGGGTCTTGTGCTATTTCATCCTGTACTATTAGTGCAAATCATATGAGTATGGAATACATACTGATTGATGCCAGGCCCAGTCTCCTGACATAAAATCTTTATAGTGGTGTTTCTTGTCCTTCTCCTGAAATTCATGGTACGGTGTATAATCCATTTCACCTGTATAGTCCGAATTTGCAAGCATGTTCCTCACGATGGCGTGGGGGTCCCAGAACCAGACGTCATATGACTGTTGCATCCAAAGTGGACAGTCTCCTGCAGGTTTCTCACCACTGTACTCGAGGGAGAAGCTTTGCCATGCAACATCACCTAACAGTGTTGCATCAATAGTATTGTATAGGTCTTTGTGGTTGGCAAATGGTGGACTGTCACGATGAATAGCAAGGGTGATACCCCAGTAGTACAGTAAGCAACAAAACCGTTGCAATGTTTGCATAATTTTGATTGTTCTGTCTGTATCATTGCAGGGATTGCTGCTATCAAAATACTGATGAGGGCAATATTGTAGCCCTACATCCAGGCTACAATAGTCGTATCACAATGAAGGTGTGAAACAATTTCCATAAAGAGATACAAGTAATTTACTACAGGGTATGCATTGCAACAGTTTTGTTGCTGATGATTTACAATATAAAAATCCTATCAATAGACATCAGTTATGTTATATAGTGTGTCTTATAATGTCATGCGACATGTAAAATGATCAACATGATATAAACAAAGCCAAATGTTGAACTTTCTCAACATTCATCATCATGAAATCCCTCTCTGCTGAAACAACCAACCAAATCCTCTTTCACCTTGATTTAAACCAATCTACAAGGGAGATCTCACATGCTACTGGTGTACACCATAGTACCATCAGCAGAATTCACTCTAAACTTTGTCCTGACCTTCAAAAGTCCTCTGGTGGTCGTCCTTCTATCCTTTCCTCGTCTGATGTTCGACATGCTATTCGGTTAATCAGTACTGGCAAGGCTGAAAATGCCACTCAAGTCACCAGAGCACTTCAGGACATCAAGAACCAGCCTGTGTCCTCTCAGACAACACATTGTTACTTGAAGAAATCTGGGATGAAGGCTGTAGTGAAGCAAAAACGCCCTCTCCTCTCCAAGCGCCATAGGACAGCAAAACAATCAAAATTACGCAAACATTGCAACAGTTTTGTTGCTTACTGTAGAGGATCTTGTCGATTTGGCGGGCTGACATCTGGTTTTCAGTGTACAGTAACTCGGCAGCCTCAAATTCTAGCTGGTTGTGGAATGGAGTCCAGTCGTCAGGACTCTTTGTAGTGTATGGTGCTGGGAGGAGTACTGGGATTGAGAAAGTTGCCATTTGCATCACAAATTCGACCTACAGGTGTAATTTTTTATTAAGATGACTATCACCTGCAACAGGATTATTGTACTTACAAGTCAGTGCCTCATGATAGTCTCAAATGAGTCCATGCCTAAACTCCCAGTGCTCCTCGTCTTTTGTGAGTCTCGGAGCCTCTTCATCTTCAACCTCTTGAACAGAAGCACACCGTGAGTGTAGCGCTTGACCGGGGTGAGTAAATGAATAGCTGTGCATCGCACTTTGGTGGAATTTCAGCCCAGAGGTATTTTTCAACCAGCGTTTGCACCCAGGGTATGGACACTGAACACGTCGGGCACTAAATGCTCATCATTTGAGCTGTGTTTGAGGGATGTCATGGTCTTCCGGCATGTTGGGCGAACATTTGCAACTTGAAAGGACTAAAAGGCGGCAAGTATTAGCAAACCTGTTATAGTGTGAATAGTAATATACTACATACACGGAACAGGTGTGAGCAACACATAACTCTTTCAAAGTCCTTCACAACCTCCCTGCCCTCAGCCAAATTTTCACTTCTACCAACAACCAGGCCTTTTCCAAGAATGACACAGCCAAACACTCGTCCTAAAAATGTGAACCAGCATCCTGGTGAGATTGTTCTCAAAACAAAACAGAAAAGACGTACTGCTCGTCAAATCCAGGAAGACAACAACCGCATCAAGCATGAACAGCAAGAACAGGAAGCTGCAGCTCAGCGCAATGCCAACCGTATTGCTGCTATTGAGGATCAGAGGGCCTTGAAGGATCTCAAAATCATTATGGATCCACCAAGGCCTCGGCCTCAGGCACGACCTGTGTCAAAGGTGAAGAAGCTGGTCAGTATAGCTGAGGAAGAGGATGTTGAGATAATGGATGCTGTAGATGAAGATGACGTTCAGCCAGTGGATGGCAATCCTGAGGAGGTCCAGACTCACCATAACAATATTGAGACTGACCACGTTATGTCCAGCAGTGAGGAACTTGCAGAGGTGCAGCCAAGGAGGAAGCATGTGCAGAAAATGGCACACCGCGAGGCTGTCCAGGTCGTACGCCTTGTTGATAATGCTGGTGTCAATCAAAAGAAGAATCAGAGAGATGTTGAGGCACGTGTTATGTTGATAGGTGACCAGAAATGGAAGAAAGGAGCGTGTGTTGATATTGTTCCCAACTACCATGTTATTACTGACTGAAACAACCCTCTTTCACCTTGATATCCTTGATCAATTCAGTGCAGCTGATGTTGGTATGGTAAAGAACGACTATGCAGGCATCAGAAAGACAAAGGATTGGGCCGAGAAACTCACAACTAGCAAGTTACTTAGGCCTTCTGTTCCTAACAGCACTTGAACTGCGACACACACCCATGTTTCCTCACTCACTACTTTGACCGCTGTGTCAAAGATCACAAATGTGACTTTGGTCAGCACCAATCCTGGTCCTCCTCCTACTCCAGCACAGTGTCAGAGAGTCAGACACATCATTGCTGGATGACGATGATTCGCTCGAGCATGAGGCTACTCACAATGCCATTAAAAAGACTCAGACTGGTGACAGTGCTAGATGCACGGCTTCAGTAAGTCCTACTTTTTCCATTTACATGACACTTACTCTTACCTCAGGATGTGGTTAAAGTTAGTAGCTTGTCATCTCCGCATACCTCACGCCCAGTATGTGCGCCATCCCAAAGGACCGAATCATTATCTTCCCCTCCCCCTTGTACTCAACCATTAAGAGCGACTGCCAGGATTCCAAGCTGTCCTGAGCTCATGTATGATCTATCTATGGAACTTTATGAGGCCAACAATACTGAGGAGGCTGAGGACAAAGCACCCTCTGCACCTGTAGCAGGAAAAGGCATCAAGCACCTCACCACTTCAGTAATTTGTCACTTCTTTCACGATACCTGTCTGATCTTTGTTCTGCTAAATTTAGACCAATGTTGGTATCAGTAGCACTGCCCCTGCTTCAAAACGAGCAAAGATGGAATCACGTGCCGCAAGCATCACATCTTGCCATGATGGCAGTGGTGCTAATCACTGATACCAGAACAACGATCTTCCTGATGGCTGTCAGCACAACAACACCTGGCGTCGGGTATTCATACCCACTGTTGCGCACCGGGCTGGCAGAGACATTGAGCCATGGGGCCCTGATGACCATGAACTAAGGGACATTATGCAAGACATCTGGAACCATATATACAAGGGTAAGATTGAGCATGAAATTTCCAGTTCTGGCGCTGTTTTGAAAGTAGTAAGTCCATCATTCTCATATTATTCGAGTCTACTGAAGTTCGAAGACCAAACAGCGTCTCATGGAATGGCACAGTGTGGTGACAAGAAATGGCTGGGCTGTAGGTAAAAGCACCAAACCAAAGTATATGAGTCTCCTGCTCTCCTAGCTGCTACTCTTGCTAGCAAGAACGTTCGACCCTAAAGGATCTCTGACTAGGCTCAGGCTCAAAGAAAGAGAGTGGAGAAGGTACTCCAAGTCAAGGTAAGAAAACTATGTTCCAGGAGCTATCTGGTGAGCTGAGAAGCTACAACTAGGAAAGCTACAACTAGGGGATGCTACTAAATAACCCAAGTGAATGGGGAGCAACCAAAGAACTGGAAACAAGGGAAACTAGGTAATGACTGTAGAGTCCTAGGTAAAGGGAAGATGATTATGTAAGCAGCAAAAGTGCGAACCTAATCTAAGGAAAGTGTCAATAAGAGATGCATAGTGAAAAGTGCCTCTGCAAGGCTACAGAAATTTTGAACACCACATGTTACAGTCAAGTACGCCCCTATTCATTTTCTTTCTCTTACATCATTGTATTACATCACGATCGCATTTTGCCGTCGCTAGATGATCTATTCTTGTTATCTCTGACTCCGTCTTACCTTTGACTCCGTCTTATCTCTGACTCCGTCTTATCTCTGACTCTGTCTTATCTCTGACTCTACTGAACCGGCCCTAAACGCGGTTATCATTCACTATATAAACCCGCCTTGTACTATGTAGTTCTTTACTTTAATCTTACTAGGTTTTACCTGGAACATCCTTCGCTTAAGACCTCCAATCTTAAGTCGTCTGAAACCGAATTCAAGCCAAGGACACTCTCCTTGTCTTGTCTTATTTGAACCACTGAACTTCGGTATACGCTGAAGCTTTGAACCGACCTTGGCCGATTACTCTTATCGAGTAGCCATACGTCAGAACCATCCTAGTTCGTAACACCACAACAGAGGGTTTGGTGTTGCCACTTGTTCCATTCTTATAGTGTTTTTCGCACAGGACACTGTTTTCCTGGACCCGGAGGCTTGCAAGGAATTTTCACAAGCCATGCTGAAACAAAACCACTTTATATTCAGGGATAATGCTGGGCTTGCTCCCAAGGTAAGTAGCATCATTTATCACTATTTAACGTCAATTTTAATCATCTGCTCAAAGGGTTGGACAGGTATGTGGAGGGCCTCCTTCATACTCCAGATGTTTGCATCGCACCTCAATTTCACCCATGGCCATGTTGAAATTCCCAACCTCCACACCAAGGGAATTAGTGCACGGGCCGCCTTTACACTCGCTGTTACTGCAGTGAGTTATGTTTTATTTCTGTTGTATTAGTATGCTATTATATTTTCACAGGTGTGCCGTATTCTTCAGCTAGTCGTAGATGGGAACATCACCTTCGAAATCATTTCAGAAACCCGTGCCAAGCGCACCAAAGCTACAAAGACAGATGACAGAGACATTTGGACACTATCATTAAGAAGGGCAAGGAATTCGCCTTTAGCAAACCTGTCTTGGGGCCTATGACCCAGAAGTTCATGCAGCCCATCATGGCACTTCCTGACGAGGACTTCACGAGCATAGTGCAAGAGGCACAGGAGTATGCCAAGCATCTGAGAAGTACTGGGAGCTCAAGGGCCACCAGTAATGTCATGCCTGATGAGGACAATGGATTTGCAGACCTGTTTGCGTTCTGTTAAAAGTAAGTTGCCTTTACTCTCACCTTTAATATGCATTGATTCACAAAGGGCGTAGTATTCCATCTTGCATTCACTCGTTCGGACTGGCCACCACTACTATCTATCACATTATGCACCTGCTATCATACTATGACTACCGCATTCAACGCTCCTCACTGTAACCACCCATATTCACGCATTAATGATTGATCCTTCTCTTGATGTCTTACTTTCATGGCTCATGCTTATCTGCCTCTTATTGCATCTTTTAGTCTTACTGAACTTGAAGCTTATTCATCTTATTTTACTAAATTTAAGTGCTATCAAGTTGTGTGTCATTTCAAGACCAGATGCTTTGATTAAGACACTTGTCTTAGTATAAGACTGCCTTATTCTGTCTTAGCTTGTCTTGGCTACTAAAATAAGCTCGTTAAGTTAAATTAAGAGGTGTGTAATTTTACTGATGTAAAGTGGTCATGATAGCGTCGTATTCTCATTGTCGGTCTGTGACCCGTAACCTTAGTGAGTATTGTGCATCATTGTCAGGCGGTGGTTGTTAGCATTGTAGTTAGTAGTGAAACCACAGTGTGTGGGTACAAGATGTTGGAGGTGTCAGGAAGTTCTTCGACAGGGTAGTGAAAGTGGAAAGGTGGTGGTGGCTGGAATTGTGGCTGCGACTGCACTTGTTTGATGGTGAAGTGACATAAGATGGACCTTGATTCGTGAACCAGGCGCTAAAATAGAAAGTGCGTCGAATGTAGGAGGGAGGGCGATGCTACTAGAAGCGACGTCTGGTGGTTGCTAGCCAGCATCGAGGTGAGTCCTACCTCCGTCATGGCAGTGACCCAGGCATCCACGAGGTCTGCTTTGTCGACACGAATCTGTTCACAGACTTGTACAAGGTGGCCAACTAGTAGCATTGAAATCAATGAGAAATTTGACCATGAAGAGGAATGACTGACTGGTTCTGTTGGCATGTCATTGGAGGCAAGAGCGCACAATGCTGTGGCAAGCAGCATTCATTCACATGGCCCTAGGTTTGCACTGATGAAATATGATGAGTGACATACTGAGTCTGGCATTGAATATGTCTGTACCTTTTGCTGCTTGAGTTTATATGGGCACGACTTCTCAGGCTGATATGAAAGTGCTGTAGGAGGGAGATGGATAAGTCGACTGGCGGCGTATTTAGTAATGAGTATCAGGGGCTTTAACCAGGAGGCAGCAGCCTTGGTTTTGTGAGCTAACACATCAGTAGGGTGAGCAGATCCAGAAGGGTTAGTGTCAGTATTCATAAATGACATTGGGAATTTATCGAGTAAAGCAAGTGATCGAAGGTTCAGCAGATGAGAGGGAGCATTGCGGATAGTGAGAGCATTGTTGGTGGTGAGAGCTGGCATGAGTGGGGGTGTCGATGTGGTGATCGACATTTTTGCTGTCCAATGCTTTGTCAGTGCCAGTGAAGACACCTTCCAAGTGTATGAAGTCACCATTGGGGACTACGGACGGACTGCTGTGGAAGGAGTTGGTGGTCTTTGTCATCTGAAGCAAGGCGTCCCTGAGGTGTGTAGATCTAGGAATAGAATGGTTAGCAATAGACGTAGGCGTTGTCTGGCATTTGTCCACTAGTAGGACAAGTGACTGAATATATGGCATACAAAGGGGGCTAATAATGTCGATAGTTGTGATTGGGGCTGGAACGGTGACATGATACCTTGTCAGAGAAGACATCCCTTGAGTCATCATCGCTGGCTACCAGAGTAGTGTCGGATGTGATTGAGAGTCAGTTACAAATGGCGAGATTTGGCAAATCAAGGGTAGTAGTGATGTCGCAGGACGTTGATTCTAGTACAGGTGACAATAAATGATGTTGAAATGGCAGCAAGACGTCCTTCAAGTGGTCATTGTCCCAGGCTACAAGGGTAGTATCTGGTGTGATAGAGAGGCATTTACAATTGGCAAAATATGGCAAATCGAGAGTAGTAGTGATGTCGCAGGGCATTGTTGATCTGAATACAGGCAATGATGACGATGGAGATGACTGAAATGGTAGAAAACCCTTCTGGGCTGGAGCTGGCAATACAAAACTCGCAGGTGGGTAACAACCCGCAGTACCTTGATGTAGCTTGCAAGCTGGGCACACCATTCTAAGCAGCCTGGTTGGTGCTGGGACGGCATCGGGAATGTGCCCGCCAGCGGAAGGTGCACCGTTATTGTTACTCAGATATATTGACACAGCTTCATTGGTGGCTAGGATCAAGATGATTGTTGACTTGAATGCCGACACAACGAGGCCGGCGGAAACCTTCCTTGGTCCAGATCGAATTGGACGGAGAACTGTTTCCTCGAAGCACAATACCGAGATTAAGCCTGTACTATCCATCACGGCTGAGTCGTCACCCCCACAAGTCATCACAACCTAAATATCTCACTCAATTCTTACTTCCACACTCAATTCTTACTTCCACACATAATTTACAACTTCAATCAATGTTTCTAACATGTACCTTTCATTGCGAGGTTGAACGACTGATTTTAACGAAGAAATGGTGAAGTTCTTCGCAAGCAGCCAAAGTCATGCAGAATTCATGCTGGTGACAGCCAGCCGAATGCTGCCATGGTGGAGTTCTAAAGCGATACTGACTAGCTGTGACGACTTGTCAGTGAGCCAACGACTCGGAGATGGCTCGACAAGATAGCCACCGCTCGAAAGGTAAATCATGAGCATCACGGGATCCCACATATGAGCAGGGGATCCAGGCAGCTTTGCAGGGTATCATGAACATGATCTACAAGACCATCAAAGAAGCTGCGTTGGCTCACGATGTAAGCTGCTATTTCACCCTCACTTAATTGCAGATTCTTACTACTTCATCAAATTAGGTACCACGCACAACTTTGGGCAAGCAGCATTCGGGGGAACATAAATCATGTCATGAGGCAAACGCAGATTGGCAGATCCTCACGCCTGCACAAGAGCAGACTATCCTTGACTGGTGCAACCTCAATTCATCAATGGCTAAACCCCTTCACCTGAAGCAGTTATGTGCTCAGGTTCTTGACATCACTGGTCATTACCCAGGGCACAACTGGCATTACGCTTTCCTATGTCAGCACCCTACTCTCTGTGTGTTGAAACCATGTGGACTGGATCCAAAGTGCAGCCAGAATTTCAACAAGGCCACGATCAGAGAGTTCTTGAAGATGCGGAAGCAGCTTGATGTTAAATATAAGGGCATTCCACCTGAGCATCATTGGAATATGGATGAAAAGGGTAATCAGATGGGGGGCAGGAGAAAGAATGATGGAAGCAAGTTCATCTTTGCCAGAGAGGACTTGGAACGGTACCGGACACACAGTGATAACCTAGAACTGGTAACAATTATCGAGTGTATTTATGCTGCAGGAGTCAGAATGCCACCTTGGTTTGTTCTTTCTGATGGGCCACCTCCAGACCTATGAGATCTCAAAGATCAAGTCAGAGGGTGAGTGAACATGATAATCTGATTGTCGTGTTCTTATCTAACAAATCTTGAAACAGCTTCTCAACATCAGCATCAGGATGGACAGATCGTGAGATTGCTGAAAAGCGGTTCTCAGACCTCTTTGTTCCTTTAGCTGAAAAGCATCGTGTCAATCCAGAAAAACCCATTGTTCTCACCTATGATGGGCATGACTCTCATGAAACGGACATAATGAAGAGGGCTCCAATCTGCAAATGCACACTGCACACTTGGTCAACGAGCATTATCTGAGTCAAATATGCAGCTGGCTAATCAGAAGAAGAAATGGACGAGGAAATCTGTCAAGTTATGATCATGCTTCGTCACAATGCCTGAACTCGAGGAGGATTCTAATAAACATGAAGCAGAACAGCACGAGAAGGAAAGGGTTGAAGCTGAGAAGCAAGCCAAGAAAAAGACTGATGACAGCGCCCAGCTTACTCAAATCGAGAATGACATCACGACAAAAACATTTGATGCACCCACTTTTTACCGACTCAAAGACGATTTTATCACAATTGCTGGTGCTCTGGGGATTTCTCGAGAGGGGACTGTTGCCACTCTTATTTTGAGAATCAAGGAGTATATTGCTGATCCAGCTAATGTTCATCTAGCTGAAACCCCACAGTTTTCAGCCTTGTTTGGCAGTGGGAGACTGTGTACAAGAAACACAGCCAATAACAACCCAACTGCTGTCAGCGCCGCTTCTCTGGAACCTTCCAGATGTGTTCTGCTACCCACCAACAGCTCTCACTCCTTTTCTAGTGAATCGGGTAGTTCAAACATTCCTAATTTACACCATGAAATACCTTATAATCCTACTAATCCCATTGTACACCCAACCCACAGCAGCATACCATCATATCAGCAATTTTCCAGACATTCTATACCACACCAGTGTCACAAATTCCAAACACAAATCATTATTCTTTCTTGAACACTTGTGAGACCTCCAAAGACATTCGTAAGACACCCATTAAGCGCCCATCACAAGCGCCTGTCATTAGCGCTCAATCAGCGTCTGTACCAATAACTTTCACAAACCCTAACCCGAACCCATCCTTTACATTTCTGAACTTCTCTATTCCATTAGCGCCTACAACCTTTATCTCCGATATTCCCAATTTCGACTTCCTTTCACAAGCAATCAAGTCACATGACACTAGAACCTTCGAGAACCCTTGCACAGCAGTCACATGTTTCATGACATCATAAGTGTAGTTATATTTAGATCATCATACAATTCTCTTTTCTATTTAATGATTGGCTAGTTAGTTCAGACTCAGACTCATTCTCCGTTTCAATATATGTATATAGGTAGCTCGTTATAGTCAGTAGTTCTTCAGTTCAAACCTCTTTTGTATTAGCTTACTGCTAGCAATCCTAAGACGTCCCTGCTATCCTTTATCTTTTGTTGTGATATCCTTGATTGAGTCCTAGTCTCTGCCCCTGCGTTAATTCGTTATAAGGGTTGTGACAACCAGCATCAAGTTCATTTGCCACATCATGGAGGACATAATTCTCATTCTCATGTAGCACATCCTGCATCGTACAACGATTATAATTACAGCCACACTCCATACTATATTCCATGCCATACCAGTTAATGTCAATGACAATCATAACTTTTCGCTCTAACATCTGAGGCATTGCCAAGCGGGCTTAGAAATGGCAGCTGTGACTCGCTGTGACCAACTGTGACAAAAGCGTTACTTGACGACTTGTGGGTGATGACTCAGTTGTGATGGATAGTAATGGTTAGGCGTGAAGCAACATAGATGGTAGTAGATATCATAATTAACATTCACTGCGGAAACGAGAAAATAGTCAGGCCGTATTAGTGTAGGGACAGACCATATATGCGGAATATAAACAGACATCGCATACAACGCAAATCCCGAAGCGCTAGACTAGCGAGAGGTACACAGTGCTGACTCTAATCCGACACTGGACACATAAATTTTGCAGAGGTAGATTAGTTATCTGTGTATCTAATCCGACAATAGGATCATATCGGAAAACATGACTTGCACATCTGAATTATGTCTGCATACATATACAAAATAGTTCTGATTAGACTCTGCAAAGGATATAGTACAAGAGGTCCATATGCTCCATATGCTTCCTAGGATTCGCCATGCGCTTGCCCATAGCTTCTCGCTCGCTCTTCCCTTCGTTCTCCACACCCCACATCCACAATGCATGGATCCCAAGGCCCACAGAGACGCCCTAGCAGTGCCCCCATGTATCCTAACCAACACGGCATTAGTCAAGACCGCCAGTCTCAAATGAGTGGTCCACACCAATTTGGCCAGCCTCATCCTGGGCCGTCCCCACTCAACTTGCTCAACGATGACTTGCCGCAGCACGATGAGTACTTCAGTGGACCACGGCTGCCCAATCCTGCAATGGTAAACTTGTCAGAATCAATTCAATGCGAACACAGAAAACTCACATATTATTAGCCAGGGGAAGACGGTGTAAATGAGAATATGGGAAGACCGTTGGGCAATAACAACCTACCAGAAACCCCATTCATCCCCAGGCACAACGAGCAGCGTACACCTTCCCTGTCTATGCACGGTGTCAATAATTATATGAACCCCCAGCCGGGCGGTACACCATACCTTGGTCATGGAAACTTGCACACTCCTTTCTCATCAGGCAGTGAGCCACGTTCTCGCTCGCAGTCCTTGGCACCAGGTGGAGGCCACGACCCTGACTATAATCAGTTTGCACGACCTTATCAATCACACGGTGCGGGAACATACCCATACCAACGCGGCGGCTTGCTTTTCCAGGACCAAACTGGAGACATGCAGTACTCGGGTCCACAGGGTAGAACTGCCAGTGCCAGCGAATTGCTGCATCTGTCTGAAAGCATACAACAGTTTTGTAGTAATATTACGACCTCAAACAATGCACTTACAGCACAAGTGCAAACACTTCAAGGCGAGCCATCCAGTAGTGCTTCTAAGCCAGGTATCTTCAAGAGAGATTTCAGCTGTTCAGAGAGTGGGAGATAAGGATATTTTATCACTGGGGACTTGACTGCTCGTTGGTTACCCCGCAGAGTGTGTTCTGACAGGAAAAGATCATCAAGGCAGATTGGACAGGTATCCACGGTATGCACTGAACCAGCAGGAGGGAAAACGTCGCGGCAAGAAGGGCAAACAGGAAGAGTGTAGATAGTCTTGTCCACACCAAGTACCCGATTGCTGGATTGAAGCATTATAAAAGGAGTGTCGATGGCGGGTGCAATTGAGAGTAAAATGCAAGCCAGTATCGCAAGGAGTGCATTGCATGCAACTTGTGGAAGGTGAAACTGAAGGTGAAGCCACGAGACAAGTGCGTATATTACTAGCAGATGGTGAGGGAGGTGCGAAAGATCCGTGTGGTCTTCTCCAGCTGTCGCATTGTTATACGCGTCAAAGTGGTCAACAGCGGCAATAAGAGCCTCGGGACTGCACATGTTAGGACCAAGGTTGGGCAGAGGGCCGCTGGATGTCGCAATACCAAAATCTACATCTGTAAGTGCCCCATAATCCAATACAACATCCTCCAAAGGGTCACGAAACTCTGGAGACAAGGGAGGGGGAGGTTCATGTAACGGAACTGAAAATCCTCGAGGAACTGGCTCAATATCTGCATCACCCTGTGAGATGATGCGTTGCCCGACATGCCAGGCAAAGTTAGCCTGATCAGCAAGAGTTCGTTGGCGTAAGTCAGAGCGCTCATGCGAGCGAAAAACGTGAGGTGGAACAAGAATGCCGTTGCACTTTGTAACTTTGCAGTAGCAGCATACAGGGGGAGCCATGTTGGTCGATCAATACAGGGTTCGGATGTGTTTGAGTAGTATGGTCTAAGAGGACATAACAATATCAATATCTAGACATGTCGGACTGTATGCAGTCACGTGAGCAAAACTCCCGTACTAGTAGAGCAGGTGTAATGCGGGACTTAGACAAATTTTTGAAAAATTTACTTTGCTTCAAGCGCGACCTAAACAGACGTCGAAATATTGAATATGCGGTGTTGATTAGTGGTGGAATTGCAGGTATTTGAAGAGAATAAACGGGGTCCGAATAGACGTGTTGACGAAGTTGGAAAAGTGTCTGTTTACATGTACATGTTGCTCCGGAGCGAGCGAGCAAAATTTGCGACATCTCGGATTTACGTCTGATTACAAGCTAGGTACGTTTAGAGTCGTGTTACACGCGCCATCTCCCTCTGATTAGGGTCTGCCTAAAATCTCGTTTCCGCAGTGATTGGCAGAATATCGTTGAATGTACGGCGTGCTGTTGCCGTGCTGACAAGATATTCGACGGGGCCCAAGATATTCTGGGTTATTTATACCGGTCGCGATATTTGTGCGTGCTTGCCCGGATAAACAAACCCGATCGCGACGCGTCCATCACGTGCTGTAAAATCAACCTGCATCGATCTCGAGGACACTTGACTAGTCCTCCCGCCTGCGAAAGCTGGGAGCAGCCGGGTAATGGGTTATCGAGTCCGTGTGCGACAATTGATGCTCACGATTGTCACAGCCATACTCTAGCACTCGCAACTTCAAGTTTAACTGACTCACACATCTAACATTTGTATTTTTTCTGCCCGTGACCAGACGACTTGTCGGACCAGCACGAGTACGGAAACGCGATAGACAACGATCGTTGATCGCTTGACTCATACACAAAGCGATTAGCTTGTTATGTAGAACGCAGAATTTTGCTCCACCGTGCTTCCGGTTGCAAGGAGCCTCCCAGTCGGTCCAGCCCGCCGGTCATTGAATCAACCGATGCACCTTACCATGTGACATTTGACGATTTTACATTCCAAGGACGGGCCAAGATGACAAGAAAGGACGAGTTTCTTTTTCAAGGTCTGACAACGGGGGCTTGGGCCGACCAGACGGCTAAAGGTGTTAGGGACGTGCAGCAGAAGATAACTCATGTCGAACACATGCAACGAAGTTGAATCATTAATATTGTAAGTGCAACTAGTTCACTTCCAAATTCATGGCTAAACGATCGATACGGTGTGCTTACAGTTACTGTCTATTGGTCACTTTGATATGTCAACGCAATCTGTCACTTGCCACGATGTATCTCCTCGCGCCCCGAAGTTGTTCTTAGACAGGCACTGGTGGAATGACACTCAGAAGTTCATAGATACCACCATGTGTGGAGTTGACATATTCATGCACGACTGGGCCCGCCGAGGCTATAGCGCTAATCATTCACCCTGGCAGATGCATGGCCTCGTGTTCAGGTCACGCTTATGTATTATATTTCATATCTTATATCACGTATCCATCTTATATATATACCCTGCTCCAGCCCATCGCATTTGCACTGCAATCCTTCTCTACAATGTCCACACCACCACATCCCTGGTGGAAATCTGCAACCGTCTACCAGATTTATCCAGCATCATTCTTTGACGCAAACGGTGATGGGACTGGCGATCTCGCAGGCATCATCGCCAAACTTGACTATCTCAAGGATCTTGGTGTGAACGTTATATGGCTTAGCCCGATCTATCGCAGCCCATTGGCTGATATGGGCTATGATATGTGAGCGCTAATGGTTATTTTTTGTTTCTTGTGCTTCATGCTTTAACCACCTCAGCTCAGACTATGAGGACATTGATTCGCGCTATGGCACCCTTGAAGACTGGGATCGCCTTCTCGAAGGCGTGCACACACGGGGGATGAAACTCATGTATGTATCGTTCGAGCCCTAACCTGTTTTTCGGCGTCAACCCGGGTCCTTTTGACAGGATGGATCTAGTGGTGAATCACACATCCGACGAGGCAAGCTCCCTTGACTTTCTATCTTTCTGGCTTACCATATGGTTCCTGTTTCTACTAATTATTTACAATTACTTTCGTGGACTAATTGCATGCATATTGACAGCACGCCTGGTTCACCGCTTCAAAATCAAGCAAAAATGACCCAAAGCGCGATTGGTACATCTGGCGTCCTGGTAAAGTTGTCGACGGAGTAGAACTTCCGCCGAACAACTGGAAGAGCGTGTTCCAGGGTAGGTGGATCTGTTTTCCTTGACCTCCTTGCATGGTGAAGCGGCCGTCCCATCTTTCTCCTCGCTTCGGACCACTAACTCAGTCTAACTGTTTCATTGTTAATTCGTACTTCTGACTGTGCGACAGGCTCCGCCTGGGAACGTGACCCCGCAACTGGGGAGTACTATCTCCACCTGTACCTGTCTAAGCAGCCAGACTTGAACTGGGACAACCCTATTGTGCGTTCCGCCGTCTGGGACGTCATGCGATTCTGGGTGCGCAGAGGGTGTGACGGGTTCCGCGTACGTACAATCTCTCTCCCCTTACTTCTTTCACAAAACACCGGGCATTACCATAGATGGACGTTATCAATCTCATCTCGAAGACGGATGGTCTCCCCGATGCGCCTCTGGTGGACCACACGCAGTATTGCCAGCCTGCCAGCATGTACTTCGCGAATGGGTGAGTTCGTTCATCTCTACTCGAACACCGCTCGACCTCCCCAGTCCGCAGGTACACAAATACATCAAACAAATGCACGCCGAAGTCCTCTCACGTGGGCCCCTTCCTTTCCCCATCTCCTCTCATTAACCAACGGAACTCCCACAGACCACGACCTCATTACGGTTGGCGAAACGCCCTTCACACATGAGGCATCCGAGCTCGCCGCATACGTCCTTCCGCAGAACCGCGAGCTCAACATGGTCTTCCACTTCGAGCTCGTGGATATTGACTCACCCTCCGAATCGCCACTCCTCAAGAAACCTTGGACGCTCGGCGAGCTCAAGGCAATCGTTGGTCGCTGGCAGCGCTTCATGCGCGATGATGGGTTCTGGAATTCGTGAGTTCTGCGTGATATCAACGGAAGTTGGAATAATGATGTTTCATCTTGCTTGGCGTGATCAAAGGGTTTTCATTGAGAATCATGACCAAGCGCGGTCGGTATCGCGCTTTGGGAACGACTCGGCGCAGTGGCGTGCCATCTCCGCCAAGATGCTCGCTATCTTTGAGATCACTCAGACAGGGACACTATACGTGTATCAGGGGCAGGAACTTGGCCTCAAGAACTTCCCACGGACATGGGGGATCGAGGAATACAAAGATGTAGCGAGCCAGAATTATTGGAATTTGTGCGTTGTATTTTTCTACAAGTGGGCGTAAGTGCTAAGGATGGAATAGGATTAAAGAGCAGAGACAGAAAGCACAAGGGAAGGAGGACGTTGAAATGTCTGATCTACTCGACAGTTTCGCGCAAAAGGCGCGCGATCACGCAAGGACGCCAATGCAGGTAAGAACAACTTTATCCCTTCCTTCTATGATCTCATCTAATGTTACAGTGGAACGCGAGTGCACATGGAGGCTTCACGACTGGGACACCATGGATGCGCGTAAACGACGATTACGCAGAATGGAACGCTGAACAACAGATCGGTGACGAAACCAGCGTGCATGCATTCTGGAAGCGCGCGCTGAAGGTGCGGAAAACGCATGATGCTCTCGTAAGTCATTACAAATATGTTATCCTGCATGCAGTCCGTTTTAACTCAACTTCCACTATCACCCTTCATTTATATCTACATCTCCGCATCTACCCCTTCCATTCCTCTAATGCTGACGTGTGCCCACGCCAAGATCTACGGCGACTTCGTAATGCTCCTCGATGCACATGAACAGGTGTTCGCGTACACGCGGAACTACGAGTCTACGTCTGCGCTAGTGCTGCTTAATTTCAAGGAGGGGAAGGCCGAGGTTGACCTGGGGAAGGCCATCGGAGGAGTAGCAGAGTACGCATTCGTCTTGGGCAACTACGAGAATGAGGAGATCGGACTGGAGGAAAAGGTCACTCTAAGGGACTATGAGGGGCGGGTGTATGTCCGGGAGGCGTTGTTGAATTGATTGAATACGAGTTGCATTCAGGAAGCGTGTAATACGCATGTTGATACATCGTATCATAAATTTTCATTGAAAGACATGAAGGATCTGACGACTTCGCGCCAGATCAGCAAGAAAACACAGGAGACAATATATCTATGGAGGCACTGGGGAAGCTAAGACCGGCTACATAATGGAAAATAAAACAACATCTAGAATGCCGCCTGGGCGTCCTCCCGATGAATGGAATCCACGCATGCGTGAATGTGGAGTAGGGTTGGATATACAAAACATCAGACTATGTCAAGATATTCCGCAGAAACCACATAGCAAAAACAGTAATCTCGCTAGCAGTTAATCAATAACTGTAACAAAAAAGTAGAGGATGGGCAGAGCGCATCGTTCTCAGATGGACCGACGTTGGCGGTGCATCTTTGCCACGAGTCCAGTGGGTTCGCGCTTTGCAAGAGTGCCGGTGCTGTTTGGCCCCCTCCGACATTTTTTGGGGCTGGACGATGGGTAACTGCTACCGGTAGAAGATGGTGTACCACTGACATAGGTGGTGGCAGGTGGATTATTCTGCGACGTTGCAGGGCTCGATAGAGTTGCCCCTGTCGATGTCGCAGTGGTTGATGGCAAATAGGTGCTCAGGACGGTGGAGCTCGAAGAGGCTGAAGAAGGAACACTGCCGCCCGATATAATCTCGGATGCGTTGGCACAAAATGCAATGAGGAGGTCCACCTGTGTCACAACTGATTAGTTGGTGAATCCAATATTTCAAAGCTACATACATTATTGGCTTCACATTGACGTTGGGCATACCAGTCTTCTGGGGCATAGAAAGCTACGGCGCAGTTGGCGCTGTTGCCTTGAAGCGATTTGTAAGCATAAACATGGATTTCATACCGGACAGGACTTACAATCGGCTCCGAGTCCGTCACATCCGTTGTAATACCTATCCGGTCGTCAGGACGTCGATATGAGTGAAAATCTGCATACTCACGCAAAAGAGGCCTCTACATTGAAAATATGACTGAGCAGAGGTGGTGAGGGTATATCTATGATCACAAGAAAGAAACTCACGGATCAATGAGTGAGATATCAACGCTGGAGCCACACCCCGCGCAGGTCGGGTTGACCAAGTTCATCTCGACCAACGTGCAACCTTCGCCATTAGTATCACACTGGCCTGTGTAAATAGATGTTTGATTTGACACGATGTATATATGAGTGCTTTACTTACCAGTCTGTAAGTATCTGGTAGAGATATGTTTGAGCCAACACTGCAGGAGGGAGTGAAACTCACGCGATTCCGGAAAATATGCCATCGACGACATAGTCCTGTCCAGTAGATACGTTTTGGCCATTCAGAACCAAGCATGGCTAGAGAAAAATGTGAGCTAATTATTTCCCCACACGGGTTGAGGGTGGAGCTCACGGTTCCGTGGCCACATCTGTGATTTATGTCAGAATTCGGGCGCAATGCCTTCATGTGTGACATACTGGTTGATAAACTTTATGGTATGTGTTTCTGACGCACCGACTCCAATAGCCGAAAAAATACCAAGAAAGAATGAGAAAAAGAGAGAGAACGCCATAAGACCTGGCATTGTGAAAGGAAAGGAATGGGGTAGTGAACGAATGAATGAGCGGTGGTAAGTGGTAGAAAAGTAAAATGGTAACCGAACAGCTGTTTGCATGTGGCTATACAAAATTGCTTGAAACGCTGCTTCTTTTTTGGTCAGTTGACCGAATCTCCAATGAGGACGCTGAGGGCAGCTTCATCTCCGCAATTTCTCCCTAGACGGAGAGCTTGTCCTTGCGTTGCGTTTTTTTAATCTGTTGATCCGTCTCATTTTAATTTTTCAGGTCAAAAATAAGGTCACGGTGTTCGTACAGATCTGAACTCTTTACTCGATCGAGCTGCAGTGTGCGTCCATCCAACACGGGTCCGAGGATTTTGATCTCCAACTCCGAGCGTGGACGGTATGGAGCATCTGGCTCCTGACTCTGGTTGTGCGAGAGTATCGTATCAAGAAGGTCACGGTATGGCTCGTCCTCTATCTAGTAGGTGTGTCCCAGGCACTGACCGTTTCAATGTCTTTCAGTCTCCATAGCGAGCTGATGAACATATTGATAGCTGACCATATTATAATGTTAATCACAACATGAATCTCCTCACATAAATTTGGCGGTGGGGGCTACATAGAGATGTTTGATCTCATAGTAGGAACGATGAATTTTCAAGCCGGGGCGCCAAGTCAAACCAAGTCGTACCACGCTGGATGCACTGTCTTCTACTTGAATAGTGGTGCAACGGAATGCAGCTGTAATCCAAGCCAATGAAGAGAACCCCGTGCCCATAAGTGCCAGTATCAAGACATGCACAAAAGGTCGTCACCTACAATTGGCGCGAGGAAAGCTGCAACTCTTCATATTGATGCATGGCGTCGTAGCACGTGGAGTCCTGCGTCTAGCCCATATCACTTATCACATCTATCATCAATGTATTTTGTCAACGATAACGATATTGGCGTGCTTCTGAAGTTCCGGCGCTGCTTCTAACAGTACAGTCGACAAGACGACACCGAGTTCGCGATCACACAGCTGCCCAGGATTGGCTCCCCGAATGACTACTGGCAAGGAGGTTATTTGGCAAGTACTTTCTGACCTACTGATTTTAAAATGACCACTGCTAACCCGTCAGAGAAACCATTGTTTTCAGTCTATCTCTCAACGGACAGAAATGGGGACTACTCTCGAGACTCAGACGTCTTCCCAGGACCTCATGCGTTCAAGCCTAATTCAAGTCTCAGCGCCAAGGACGATCTTAAATTCTGTGTTCGGATTTGGTTGTCTGTAAACAACCGCCGTTCTGGACACTTGATTTTTTGAGTGACTCGTTGTGATCAAGCATATGCCCTAGTCAACACGTTGCTCGCAGGTAGAGGTTTCCTTTTATGCACATGACCTTCCATTTTGAAGTACTGCTGCAGATCGGTGTCCATATGCCACCATCTCCTTCCCGCCTGAATCCTCGCTGCCCATAGACCTCCGCATGTCGCCGACCACGTGCCCCACGACGACAGCGACAGCGACCTACCTAAATCTCAGTTCCAGATCCTAAACAGGCAAGGTTTCAAATCGGAAGCAAAGAAAAACACGAACGAAACCAAGCGCAAGGACACCTAAGGACACTGCCTAGGATCTGGTATGGTTGGTTCAGAAGGGGTCACAACCGGCCCGGTGATGAGTATGTGTGTTGTGTTTGTTCGGCTGTGCAAGAAATTTGCTAGCATGAAAGGTATTGTTTTTTCCGACACCCGCGATAGCTTAGCAGCTAAAGGGGGACACAGCGGCACGAAGACAGCTTGAGTTGGTGCCATCAACTCTAACCTGATAGGGCAGTGTCATTTTTCGTTCATCTTTTGCCTCCGATGTGAAATACCGCGTGCCTGGAGCGGAGGTTAACTTTAGCCAAAACTATAGGGTGATGCCTACTAAGTAGTTGTCCGAACTCGTCTTGTGGTAACCCCTACCTAGTATTCAATGAACGTCGACGAACACGACATTGCGATGTGACATGTGTATGTTGCTGCCGAGGCCGCAGTATCCGCCTTAGGGTATACTGTAATCCACGTCCTGTCATGATATCTTATATAAGGTCAGTAGCAACTGGAGACTACGAAATGAAAAGCATTCGAGGGTTTAGCAGAACTTGAAAACTATAACCGGGTTCCCTCCTTAGGTTGCAGACCTCGCGGCTCAATCATGCTACAGTTGCCTGACCTGGTCACCGCGTTTCTGATCCCACGCAGCTTGTCTTGGTAAGAGTGATAGCTCGAGCTTACCTGCCCAGCTCAGAGTGGTCTTCCTCTTCCACCCTCCCCTCCTACAGTTCATTGCAAACTTCAAGGACTTAATTAGATGATCTCCTTGCACCACAATAGGTTGAACAGTAAGGTATGTGGTATTCAAGTTCTAACTTCTCATAACTTCTCATGCTTCACTTGAAAAGGTAGGCACCAAAGTCAAGCAGATGTGACCCACACCCCGACAATTCTTATTGTTTCTTGTATCGTTGCGCGTATTTGCGCACCATAACAAGTGTTGCCGCGTCGACGAATAACTCATCTATATAACACTGACATCATGGCACCTCCACTTCGTTTTTGCATGCTTCCCACGATTGGATACAATGCATTAGACGCCTGAAATATTTCATGGGACTAGAGCCAATTAGAGTGAGCGCCTTGTCCTCGTGGATTTCCTGCAGAAGATTTCGAAAAGGGACTATAAATGCAGGTTTAGGTCTAATGTTCCCGAAACGATTTGCCATTACTCACCTGGTGTCTGATTCGTGTCAACGAGCATGATCGCCTCCCCACCCGTGCTGCGCATCTGTTCAGTGATTGCTGTCGATCCCGTTGTCAAACTAGGCCGGACTGTGGCGACTTTCCACGTTCCTGGTCCATCAAATGACATGTCTTGCGCGTTTTCAAACACGGCAGGCTCAGTTTTCTCGTCTTGGTAATTTACAGAGCCGGCCCATACGGTCGCAAACACGACACCAATGACAGCAACCATGGTGTTGACGAGCACGATCTCGTTGACTGTGAGGACGTATACGTTTTTATACACGACAACCAGCTCTGCGAGGGACAAGAGAGAAGGGAAGACGAAGTTAGAGACCGATATGTAGAAAAGAGTGCGTAGACGTTGTCCAAACGTCGCTAGATATCAGTGTTAACACAGTATTCACGACCCCTACAAAAATTGGCAACATACTCCTCCGTGGGCTGATTTCACTTGCAACACTTGATCTATAAATTTTTCGAAGACGGATTGCCCAGAGGAAGGCTATGGAGGCATAGCTGCAATCTGTCAACGATCTGACCTACTCTCAAAACTGAACCACTCACATATTATCGACAAGCTGAGCTGACCACTCAATCTTGAGGTAGGGTGTAGTGGCCCACACCACTGCAAGATTTTCACTCCCTGTCGGGCCACGTGCAGCATCCGCAAGAACTTTAATGAACATGAACATGTTGACGAGACGCGCGATTTTCAAGAGGACAGGAAGTGCGGTGACGGGGGCGAAGCGTTTCGGGCCTACAATGGTGTAAGGGTAGATCAATGCAAGACGCAACAGAAGGATCAGGTCAACAAGGATCGATTTGAATGCGCCTATAATTCCAATAGCGATGTTAATCTGGATGAGAATGTAAGAAGCGGCAGTGAAAGAAAAAAAGTCGCACCGATGGCGGTCATGGGTTCAATGGAGACAGCATTGAATGAATCTGCAATTGAATCAATATGATATACATATGTAAAAGACAACGATGATACTGACCGCAAGACTGTCAATCATGACCCCAGCAGCGAATGCCAGAATGATGGCTATGACATTGAGAATGAATATTGGTCTTCTTCGTGAAAGCGGAGTGGAGAAGTAAAAGAGCGCAAAAATCAGGGGAATTAGAATGACGGTGAAGGTGTGCCCAATCATGATCGAGTTCAGAGATGGCTGTATTACTGCAATGTAATTGGTCCCAGGCGGAGGTGGAGGAGGCGCTATATTGGCAGGGGAAGGTGTGGTTGTATTGCTTGACATGACAGGCGTCTGGCCGTGACAGCTGAGTGAGTTCTGGTGAGTCCGTTCGCTTATAAGGGTGGCCCAGGCACCAAAGACACTGATTAAATCAAGTGTCAAATCAAAAAGATATCATCAGTGGGAAGTTCATCTCGTGCGCAAGGCATAGCCGCCGCGACTGGCTGCGAGGGCAGGCCTGGGCAAGCGACCCAAAATTGTCATTTGCATCCTTCATCGTCGCGCGGGAATTTTTTATGCAGGAGCGGAGATCACTCGCCGGCTGCAGAATTCAAATAGTTTCAAATCCTCGTATGACGCATAAATCACCAACGAGAGTCAAAACTAGTACGATATTATTGTAAACCTCGCTGGAGAAATGAGCGAAAAAGCAACACGATGACGAAAGACTTACCACCCGGATTGTATAAAGTTCGTGTTGAGTCCGTATGATCATGAAGAAAGAAGTTCATGAGTGTCTCTACGAAGCCAAATCTGAGTGATCTGAAGCTGGAGATTTGCTGCCTGAAGAACCAGGAAGAACCCCGTGTAAAATGGCTTGAATGCCGCTCCAATGCGATGAATGATCGAGCATCACTGCGCACGTTGCGGCATCGTCCATGCATGGCTATTGGCCAATGGACAACCGGAGTTAACCGGTCACTACTGTACATATTCGAATCGATTTAGAAACTTCCGCATATGAAAAAATCATCTGGTCCGCTTCAGCCCCGTGTGACGACTCAGCGGCGGGCAGCGGCGGGCCTGGCGGTATCATGTACTACGTTGGTCTTTCAATCTCACACTAACACTTTACGATCAGTACCACCTTGAGCATCCTAAGACTCAGAGATCCCAAATGTGAGTTGTTTTCGTGGTTTTTATGATACTAGGGAACAACTAGGCTGCTTGCAAGATCATCAGGCATAGGTTTGACGCAAGCACTGATCACCACCCACACAAAGAAAAGATGTCGAATTTGGAGTCGTCGCCTATCCTGACCACGATGCGGCAGCGCGTGATTGACTACATCACCCAACTCCAGAACGACATCGTCAGTGCTCTTGAGAATGCCTCAGCCCCTCCGTGTCAGTTCAAACGCGATGCCTGGTCACGTCCACAAGGCGGTGGTGGCATCTCGTGCACATATGCCTCTTCCGGAGATGATGCTACCTACGAAAAAGCTGGTGTCAATATCTCCATGATCCACGGCACACTCCCCCCAGCTGCGATCAAGCAAATGAGCAGCGAACATTCATCTCTGGATGTCAATACCATGACTGCCCTTCCCTTTTTTGCTGGCGGCATCAGCTTAATCGTACATCCTCGCAATCCGAATGCACCAAGTGCGCACGCGAACTACAGGTACTTTGAAGTATTGGATTCCACAGAGAAGGATGCAAAGGTTGTCGGGTGGTGGTTTGGTGGCATCACAGATCTCACACCATCATACCTGTTCGAGGAAGATGCGAAGGAGTTCCATGGGACGCTGAAGGCGGTTTGCGACGCCTATGGGACAGCCCTGTATCCCAAGTTCAAGCAGTCTTGCGACGACCATTTTTTCATTCCCCATCGCAAGGAGTATCGTGGTATTGGAGGGATCAGATTTGATGATCTAAATGACGAAATGAACGCTATTCTAGGCTCCGTAGATGGCGAAGCCCGCCCCCGCACAGCAGATGACATATTCGCCTTCGTACGTGCTCTCGGAGATGCATTCACCTCCTCCTATATGGGCATTCTCAATCCCCGGAAAATCATGCCTTCAGATGAGCGTATGCGTCGTTGGCAGCTTCTTCGACATGGGCGGTATGTTGAATTCAACCTCGTTTGTGAGAGGGGAATTAAATTTGGATTGGCTGCCCCCGGTGTCAATGCGGAGAACGTGCTGATGGGAATGCCAGAAATGGCAAGGTGGGAGTATATGTCAGATATGTTTGAAGAGAGTGATTCGGCGGAAGGAAAGATGATGGAGGTGCTCAAATCCCCAAAGTCTTGGGTCTAGTTCAGTCTTGTCGGTCTTGCTGCGCGTTTCTGATGGACTCTTCACATGGATACTTAGCTATCTTTTGCAGCCTGAATCCGAATCTCAAAAGCGTCGCGCTAAGTACTCAATACTCGGTGATCTGATCGTAGTCGGAAATATATGCTGGCAGACTGACCTCCGATCAGAGTATTAGTGAGCCACCGATATTGTTTTATGTGCCGATCAAGTCGTATTAAGTACCACAGGAAGCACTGGAACATAAAGCATCCTGGGAAACTGGCAGATTCTCTGATTTGGAGTTCTATCAGAAAGAAAGCTCGCAGACTCGGTTACCGTTGTTTCAAGTGCAGGTTTTCGCCCGATCCATTTTCATCGGATCACAGCAATGAACAATGTTGTGATGAGTAAGAGGTCCGATATTCGTTTACGAAATGTTTGTGAGCATGGGAATACGAACTATACTAGAGACCCCCAGTGTCTCGAGTGCATCTCAGGCTCGCGAATGCCCTGATGGAGCGTGCCCCAATCAGTCCGCCATTCCTGTCGGCCATTCTAGACGCTCTGCCCTTTGAATGAGATGACTGTACGTGAGCTATCGGTATTTGATACTGCTGCTGTGTACATATGCTTAGCGCGTATTACGATATTCATTTATGTCTGACTGCGCTCGGCGTACCGATCTCACACTTAATGGCCTCGAGATATATGCTGTGACAGTGAAACTTTATAACTGGAGGATGAGCGTTTCACTTATAATCCAGCCCTCCCTACTTGTAGCATTCTAGAGTTCTCTGACCGCACTTTTCTTAATCAACTTGAAATCCTCTGGTGCGTTGGTACATATTTCTAAAGAGCAACTCGATAATTAATGCTGACCAGCAGCATAATCATTCTCACAAGCTCATCTAACAGCTTCTGTCCTTCAACGATCCACTGTCTGATACATATCTACCCACATCGTTAACGTCGATCCCGAAACCTTGTTTCGAGTCGAACAAAATGGCCAACCAGTTGTTGTGTATGAGTGCAAATTACAGGGGGGCCTCTGTGGCATGTCTGTAGAAGGAACGACCAGTGCAATTTCCGCTCACATCCGAGGACACGGTATAACTGGTCCAGGTCCAGACAGTGCCAGTAAACGCTGCTCATGGGGTGGCTGTTCCAAAATGCTCCAGAAGGGAAGCATGGCCAGGCATATCCTTGCTCATCTCGGAGTCAAGGTTTGCTGTTCTGTGTGCGGAGTCGTGAAGTGCCGTCGTTATGTCCTCCGTGCACATTTCAGATCCTCGGATTCGTGCCAATTGGCGTCCGCTGAGATTGTTCACGGGCCTGAAGGACATCTTCTTGTCCCCACGAGTTGGGCTGTTGCTCGTGAAGTCTAATCATCATTATTTCCAGTATATGCCCGCCGTCCGTTTTGTGACAGGCACTGCCTCACTTGTCATCATTAATTTATATGGGAGACTTTAAGCTCTCGAATACTATGTGGCGGTGAAAGTTTATACTTACGTATATATATTTGAAGAGGAGGTGATAGGAGATTTGGAATGAGGGTTAGCCGCTGCGCGGTTAATCTTATGGCGATAGAGCCTGAAAGAGCGTTAGTTTAACAGATGTTATATTCTTACTTTGTTTAAATGCTTCACTCATCCACCATTCCTGTAAGCGGCGACCACCATTTTAATTTCTGCTCCAGAATTTCACCGGGGATCAGAAAGAAAACGCACACTTGTAATATTGTTGACGAAGAATTTTGAATTGTAACCTAGATCAATTTCCTTTCCGGCTGTGTTACTCCCAAGAGATCTACAGCAAATGTCCTCGGGTTTATCGTGTAGCGGGAGGATCAGTAGGTGGCTTGTTTAACGCAAAGTATTTGAGGCTAGCGACCGACTCCACCGATATGTCGTGACTCATAAAACACCTTTTTGTTGATGTTTCCTAAGGTAATCGTGAAGGGATTCGTGCTGTGAGGATCTGCGCACAACAACGTTTGTGAACAAACAAAGCGTTGGCGATACGCAGAACAAGTACAACAACCCTCTAAGGTTGTAAGTTATTGATTGTTGAGAAGCAGCTAAGTGGGTGTGAGACGAGGGGCAGGAGGAAGCGTACAGCGCGACGTGCATAAAGTCGAGTATGATACGAGTCTATGACTCTGGCTAGCTCTGCTCAAGCCTGGATAGGAATGCTGTGATCTCGTTGTCTCCTTCGGAGTCACCATATTGGGAGAGCAATGAAAGTACATCGGACGACACTATTTGCCCAGGAGACGATGGAGCACTATGTACACGAGATTCCAGACTCTCGCCTTGCCAAGAGAAGGTAGGTAACACATATGGTAGGTCCTGTGATCGCAGCGGCGGTCCATCCCTGCTGCTAGGGGTTGACGAGCTACAGGACGGTGACGCAGGTAACTTAAGAGGGGAGGGGACCGGTCTAATGTCTATTAGATGAAGCAGCTCGTTTTCATGTTGTTTGTGGATGACAGACTTAGGAGGTGGAATATGTTTGGACCTGGGAAGCTGGTATAATGCTCGCGCGTCCCGGAATGCTGAATGCCACATCTCGATGTGCTTGAACTGGAATATAGATCTGTTGTCATTGAAAAGTTGGATAAGAAAATGTGACCGACCTTTTCCTCTAGTTGCAGTAATTTATCTTGAATCTGTTGTTCAGACCGGCCCTTCTGCTTTTTCCGTGCAATGTATAATATCACTGCGTCCCGGACTTTCTTGTCGTTGTTTCCAGAATTGGCTAGAACTGCGAAGACCTGTGATTCATGAGAGCGGTTTCAACGATGCATGGCGGCAAGTACACACTTCCATCATCGTATCCCCTCTGAAGAAGCCGGCGGAGTCCATCCTTCAGTCTTGGATCCGTTACTAGGCTTTGGATTGAGGTGAGGGAAATTTCGAGTTGGCCGTCGACCAGTACGCGATAGCGATAGACGTTATATAGGCGAGTGGGGAAATTTGGATATCATTGTACCATTGAGTACCCAACTCTGAGTCTGACATGTGTTCCTGAGCGGCGGAACACACCAGGAACCATTTAAAGCCACGGATCTATCGCCTGACCAAAAAAAAGTCGTTTATTGTGAATAACGCATAACGCACGTTCGTCAATAAATTAATAAGGCCTTAAGGCGCCAATACCCCACAGTCGATCAATTCGAGAACGTCCGGTGTTTCATTCGCTGCGCAGGTGGCTGTCTGAGGGGAATGGAAGTTTTCACTCGATGGTGAAACCGAACACTAATGATGAGTGTTTTTCGCTCCCCCGTGCTGCTTCTGCGAGTCTAACGTGGCCCCAGTACACTTGCAAATGAGACATATGAGCAAGTTGAAATACTATTACAGCCGCCTGACAAAATGGTAACAATGAAACCTGAGGCCTTGGTAACAATTGACTGGGCGAATCCAACTACGTACTGCTTGAATAAGGATTGCAGTGACGCGAGCGTAAAAGATGGACATTGGAGTAAATAAGGCATATCTGTATGATTAGTCGAAGGATGTGTGAATTAGAACCCCGCGAAGAGTCTGATGCGGTGTTGTCACAAATCGATTATCGAAACCGATCGACTGTACACGCAATCAAGTTGTGTTCGCAGCTCCGCGAACAAGGTATTCCAGATCGCGATGTCTTCGCGCGGCTGAATAAGGATGTATGAAGAGTAGGACTGGTAAAAGCATGTGATGACGAGGCTCTGGGATGCGTAGAAATACACCATATAGTTCCGAAAGGAAGAGTGACACAGGAGACAGAAATTTCACGCGCAGCGAGATAATAAGTTAAAAGAGGCCGTGGATGCCACACCCCCCATGCTAATTCTGCGGATTGCCTGACGACGATATGAACACTTGGTCATCGGGCTCCGAGTCGTCACTATACTGGGAGAGTAAGGACAGTGCTGTATCGCGGCGAGATGGATGAGCATGAGATGGAGCGTCATGTCCTGATAGACCTTGCTTGCTTGTGCTACCACAGCTGAGAGGTGATGGCGAGTTAGAAGTCACTGATGCAATAGACGGCGCTGATGAAGGACGAGTTGATGTTGTGCGAGTGGATGCTGAAGATGATGTATAAGTGGATGCTGAAGGCGATGAGTAAGTTGATGCCGAAGAAGCAACTGGGCTCGACAGTGCCACTGAGGACGACTCCCACTCCGATTGGCGCCGCTGCTCATTTTCACGCTCGCGAACAATTGACGTGGGCAAGGGGATGTGATCAGATCTGCGAAGCTGGAATAACGCCCGAGCCTCTCTCCAAGCGGGATGCAATTCCTCTAGGTGCATGAACTGGCGCTTCTTGTCAACGCCCATCAAAACGCCAAGCAAAAGATAGACAAACCTTGAGCTCCAATTTTTCTAATTTTTCGTGTATGTGTTGTTCAGAGCAACCCTTTTTCTTTTTGGCCACAATGTACATTTCCACTGCCCGTCGGACAATGTTGATATCATGCCCGTAGGTGGCGATAGTTGTAACAACCTTCTAACCATGAGAGTTATTTCATTTGCATATGCCTGTAGAAACTCACTTCCATGCTTGTATTCATCTTGAAGAAGCCAATTGAAGCCATGTCGGAGAATGTCTCCGCGGTTTGGTTTGGGAATATGTACGTAGGATGGGGCGGAGGGAACAAAGCTAAGGGTATACCTGCGGATAGAAGGTTATAACTTGAAACGTCAATGGGAAGCTATTTTCTAACTAAAGCCAAGAGGCCGTCCCTGAACAAGTCTGACTTAGTCAGGACGAAGCAGAAAGAACGCAGTCATTCCCAGCCCGCAAGATACGTTTATGTCCGTAAGATTACGGCGGGTCTCGGTTCAGGCCCAGGCCCAGGCCAGTGACCACAACAAAGTCACAGCATACCCACAGCATGACATCAACCAAGCACGTTCCTCGAAGTGTGAGAAGGCCGAAATCCGAGTGTACTGCCAGAAGAAGGTTCTCAAAAACATCGCGGCCTGTAAATACAAGAGTGTCCTAAATAATTATGTGGCTGTGCATCCGATCCTTGAAGTGAAGCTTTGCTATCTGAAAATCTAGTCGAATGATCAAATACATACTGCGAAACTTGGAAGACGGCAGATACGACTGCGCCGCAGCGAGCTCACCCTGACATGGACAGCCGAGTCCAATGATGAATTGGTAACACGTCGAAGCCACATCCTGTGTTCATAACCTCCATGCATAATGTGATCACGTCGCGGATCTAGATGATTGATCAAAATGACTTTGGTTCAAGATCAAATAAGTGGCCCTATAGCATTCGGTGAGGACGTAGGTCGCTAATTTGAATTCGCGTACGAACGAAGCGCAGTGCTGTTCACACCTGTGGCGCCGCAGGGCTATACACCTAGCAGAAACCTACGAATTCATCCGGAACTTCAGGAGGCTGTGGAAGGGACGCATGAAAAAAACTTTGAATTACATAAACCGTTGACAATATATGTTTTGATTACGTAATCATATGTATTACATTTTTAGCCCGATCGGATCTAAGCAGCTTGTTCATCTTCCCCGCACCATCACTACTGTCATGCTCATCCGCCCTCTCCGTCGCCTCCTCACTCGTTCAACTGCCGTTTCACGCTTTCACACGTTCCCATCATGCTTATCTTCGAGGAGAATACTACAGAACTTCAAGCTTGCTGACATTGGCGAGGGCATCACAGAGTGTGAAGTTATCAAATGGTGCGTCGGCCGGACCTTGCAAATATCGTGCTCCCCCACTGAGCTCATAAGTTAGGAATGTGAAGGAACTTGGCACCATACAAAGCTTTGAGCCTTTGTGCGAGGTCCAGAGTGACAAAGCTAGCGTCGAAATCACAAGTCCGTTCGATGGTGTAGTCAAAGAGATTCTGGTGAAGGAAGGTGAAGTTGCAAAGGTCGGCCAAGGTCTCTGTGTGATCGAGGTTGATGAGGAATTGTTGGATAGCGATAGTGCAGAGCAGATAGAGCCTGCGTCATCGGACGCGCCAATAATTTCAAACTCCAAGCCTGTGGAAGATGCTGCCTCTAGATCCGAACATATCACTGAGGAGCCATCTGCACCCAGAAGACTACACCCTATGGACCCAAACTACTTACATCCTTCCACTCCCAATGTTAACCCCGAGAACGTGCTCGCAAAGCCCTCAGTCCGTCATTACGCTCGCCAGTCCAAGGTTGACCTTTCACTTCTCTCAGGCAGCGGACGTGACGGACGCATCGAGAAGAAGGATATTGATGTATTCCTGTCACAGCAAGCCTCCTCTGTTTCAGTACACTCCGGTTCAGCTGCACCACGAGCACAAGCCGAACAAGACGTAATTGTCGAGCTTGGGCGGACACGTTATGGCATGTGGAAAGCTATGACCCATAGTCTTGAGATTCCACACTTCGGGTATGATTCTGTCCTTGTAGATATCATTCGCTATCACTTATCATTTGTGTTAGCTACTCGACTTCCCTCGACCTCACATCTCTCCATGCTCTCCTCCCAACCCTCGATTCGCATATACCAGAACATTTTAATCCCTCCAAATCATTATTACTCCCAATTAACCCCTCCGCTCTGCATCCTGCGCCATCTCATCCTCCCGTACCAGAAAGTGCCCAATTCACCCGTCTTACATACCTCCCCATACTCTTAAAGACGCTTGCAAAGGCTATGATGGCATGGCCAGTGCTCCGTTCCTCCATCACGCCAGGTAGTACAAATGGAGGAGGCAAGCCCACCCTTACCATCCGCCCGCACGCGGACATCGCTGTTGCTCTGAGCACCACGACAGGTTTATACACACCCGTCATTCCCCATGCAGATACGCACAGCATCTACAGCTTATCTTCACAACTCAAGCACCTTTCTTTCCTCGGCCGTCAAGTACCATGCGCACTCACGACAAACGAGATGCCAAAACGCGGTGCAACGGTCACAATATCTAATGTGGGTGCAATTGGCGACGGGGAGTACGCGCACCCTGTCTTAGTGCCTGGGGGTGGCGTCGCGATCGTCGCCATAGGGAGAGCAAGATGGGTGTGGGACGTCAGCAAGAGTGACCGTGGGGAGAGGAGGCTTAAGGTTGGTGTGAGCTGGAGTGCGGATCATCGTGTGCTAGAGGGTGCCGAGTTGGCTGCGTTTGTGGAGTCCTGGAGAGCATATGTGGAGGCACCCGAACGACTTATCGGAGAAGGAATATGAACCGAGTTCAGATGCTCGATGGAGGCTGTATACTTAACGTTATCTGGGACTTTTAGGCTATCGCTTTGCAATCATGGTCTAGAGCACGCATATTGATATCACAATTACATACATTGGCGCTCTTCATATCTATCGTATGCATGACTGGTCTGCCTTGTAAGTAATTCGTTCACGTTCTGATCATCATGAAATTGATCGCAGCACTTTGCAATATTCCCTGGCTCTATCCGGGAGTAGAGAGGGTTTTGTGGGATGAGATCGGCCAAGTACTTGTTCGGGATCCTTTTATTGATCAATGCCTGCTGTTGGCAAGTCCGCACTACTATGATAGTACTACATAGGATCATCGAGGCTGCCCATTGTTTGATCGCATCACGCAATCTTTTCCGCTTTGCCCCTTATGCATTTATGACTCCGCGCCGCTGCTCAAGCACGCTCAGCACCTCGAGGCCTCAAATTTCAATGCCAATACCCACCACCTACCCTTGTTCCCAATGGAGTCCTACTTCACACTCAACTGCTTCGTCTTGGGTGATAACCCCAACTGCATCTTCTCGGTTGAGATTGTAGGGACGGAGACCGTCTATGACCTGAGAGAGGCTATCAAGGAAGAGAAGAAGAATGCATTCCTTGGCGTGGCTGCATATACTCTCCAGCTATGGAAAGTGAGTGATCTGATACCTACGATTGAACGCTGACGATCTGACATCGTGAAAGGTCGACTTGCCTGTCGACGACACCCTCGAGCATAATCTCCACGAGCTCGAACTAGATCGCAAGAAACAATTATCACCTGTAGATGAAATTTTCGAGGTTTTTGACAGTCCTCCTCATTATAAGCACTTGCATATTGTTGTTCAATCGACACTTGCTAGTAAGCTGTCTGTCGATATCGCCACTCTTTCATTTGTTCTGATTGTTGTCTGATTGGCGTGTTGTCCGCCAGCCGGCTGCCCGATCATCAAGTTTAACTGCTTAGTCTTAGGCAACGACCCCCACTGCATCTTCCCGGTCGAGATTGTGGGGACGGAGACCGTCTGTGACCTGAGAGAGGCTATCAAGGAAGAGAAGAAGAATGCATTCCTTGGCGTGGCTGCAGACACTCTCCAGCTATGGAAAGTGAGTGACCTGATACCTATAATCGAATTCTGACGGTCTGATATCGTGAAAGGTCGACTTGCCTGTCGACGACACCCTCGAGCGTAATCTCTACGGGCTCGAACTAGATCACAAGAAACAATTATTACCTTTGGATACAATGCTCGAGGTGTTTGACAGTCCTCCTCATTCAGAGCACCTACATATTGTCATCCAGCCACTACCTGCTGGTGAGTTGCTTATCGATATCGCTTTGACACGGTGGCTGAGCTGACGGCTGCCTTCCTCTTTCATCCGTTCTGATTGTTGTCTGATTGTTGTCTGATTGGCGTGTTGTCCGCCAGCCGGCTACCCGACCATCAAGCTTAACTGCTTAGTCTTAGGCAACGACCCCCGCCGCATCTTCGAGGTCGAGATTGTATGGACGGAGGCCGTCTGTAACCTGAGAGAGGCTATCAAGGAAGGGAAGAAGGCTACATTTCGCGACGTGGTTGCAGACGCTCTCCAGCTATGGAAGGTGAGTGACCTGATACCTACAATCGAATTCTGACGGTCTGATATCGTGAAAGGTCGACTTGCCTGTCGACGACACCCTCGAGCGTAATCTCTACGGGCTCGAACTCGATCACAAGAAACAATTATTACCTTTGGATACAATGCTCGAGGTTTTTGACAGTCCTCCTCATTCAGAGCACCTACATATTGTCATCCAGCCACTACCTGCTGGTGAGTTGCTTATCGATATCGCTTTGACACGGCGGCTGAGCTGACGGCTACCTTCTAGACGGTTCCCGTAGTCATTTACAACTGTCGCCTTTCGCACTCCTGTATAGGACACAGCAACTTCGTTCAGAGTACAGCAGGAAATTTCCCCAGGAGTCTCCTTCCAGTCAGGGGAAACCTTCTGAATTCGAAATCATACAGAAAAATCCGGACCTCGCCGTTCACTGGGATCGACCCCATTCAGTTGCAGATGCTATCCCTAGCACGCTACTTCATCCAGTCTTTGGTGCATTCATGGACGACTGTGAAAACTTTGAGCCAACGCCAGACGATAACGAGCTGGCCATGGCATTGTCGGTGGCTATGTCCAGCTTCTTCAAGAACGAGACAGAACGAGCTTCCGAATTTCATGAAGTCCTGCAGGAGCACGACATCGACCTAAGTCCCATAAGAATTAACGACACCGCCTACAACACCAACGGTGACAAGGAGTACAAATATTTCCGTCACGCAATCGCCCAAGTTACGAACGAGATAGGATCCACGGAGGCTGAACCTCATATGCAAGCCCTTTCATGCTACATACATTCCACCAACTCTTTCGCGAAGGATAATCCTGCATTTAGATTTCCCTGCATAGTGATCACTCTATTCGGCAAGTTTGCAGTATTTGACAACTCGCGACGCACTGATCGCGACTTAAACAGGGCCGTACATTGATTTCTCAGCCGCTGTTTGGAGCACCCGTCCGAACATGCAGGTGATTTCGACTGCTTTACCTCTCTTTTATCACCACACCGATACCAAAATGCGTGCGATGGTCGCGCGGCACGTTGGTGCGCTCAGGAAAGCTCTTCAGTCTCTCTCGGAATGTTACAAGAACATTTTATCAAACACTACGTCCCTTTCTCCCGATCCACACCTCAAATTTCTGGACTCTGAATTTCCAGATCCCAGGTTTCCATACCCGTATTCTTATACTTGCATGGAGACATCGTCGACGTGTCATTTCACGTACTGCCGTCGAATGGATACCACCAAACCACTCTTTTCTGTGAAGACAACCGATGACAAGACACTCTGCGTCAAGTTTGTCCGTCACTACTGCAAGGAAGCACATCAACGATGTGCTTCCGGCGGCTTCGCTCCAGTACTACACGGCTTCGAAAAGCTACCAGGCGGATGGTATATGATTCTGATGGAGATGCTGACAGAGGACTACTGTTTTCTCTGGGAACTTCCCGCTCCTTACCCTCATCATGACGCCATCGCTACGGGACTGCGATCTCTTCACCAAGAAGGCTATGTTCATGGAGACATTCGGAACGTAAATATTATGGTAAAAAGGGACCGCAGCCCTGGATTCAAGTTGATTGATTTCGACTGGTCCGGGATAATAGGCCAAGTCCGATACCCAATGAACGTATTTCGAGGAAATCATCTCTGGAGACCTGATGGAGCGGAAGACGGACGGTTGATCTTGGCTGAACATGATATTCAGATGTTGCACGCCATGTTTCGAGACCGCACTTTTATTTGAACATAGAGAATACCCGGGTGGTTCCAATACTGCATAAATATTATACGAACAGAGTCTAATACACCCCGCGTCTGATTCATGATGATTTTGCCAATCGAACAAAACGTGTGTATTACATATCACATATGCTACAGGAGACTCTGCTCTATATTACTGACGGACATGTTAACATGCGACTTTGACGGAAATGAGGGGATGCGTGGGCATAGATGATACACTATACAGTGACGTGAACAATGTCGAAGAGTATTACATACGTACAAAGGTGCGTTAAATCGTTGGTGATAAAGGGGAGAGCGTGCAGTGAAGGGAAATGAGGAACGAATGACTGATGAAAGCGGTGCACGAAAATGCTGTGGCTTCCCTTGCCAAGCCTTTAAGAATTGACATTCCCTGAGATTATAACCTCGACGCCAGCGGCCCACAACACGTGCATGAGCTCGTGCTTTGCGTCATCACTGTCGGCAACATCCGCGACTACGACGACACGCATCGACGGAGAATTGGAACTGCGAACGATACCAACTGGGAGAGAAGCTAATAACGGAACGATCGTCGGGTCCGCGTCGTTGAATTTCAAGTCAAGAAGACTTGGGCAAAGCGCCGCGGCGATTAGGTCTGGAACGATTGCTTGTAGGTTCGTTTTGTCCAGACCAGATAGTACGAGATGGTCGAGAGTCACGGTTTCTTGCAGAAAGCAGCGCAAAGAAGCTCCGCATGATGTAAGGCCATGAAGCTCCAAAGAACTAATTAAAGATAAGGGATATGGACTGCACGTTGCGCATGGGAATGGATGAGACAAGGTCGTGCACGACCCGTGGTGAGCTGCTGTGAGGTACTCCAGAAGACGGGATGAATCGCAAGGGTGCAACGGATCTAGTGAAGAGGAAATGTCCTCCAGCGAAAGCGTTTTGAGAGCGGGGAAGTAAAAGAGCGACAAGAGATCAATGGCGTGATCGACATCGATGAATCCGAAGGCAAAGTCTCGTAAATGTGGAAGGTAGAGAGTGCGTTGCTTGGGCGCAACGTTTACGTCTATCTGAGGACCCCATCCCAAGATGTTCAATCGCTCGAGTTCGGGACATGCCGATATGATGTCGCAAAACTCGTGCAAAGTTGGCATCACCTCGCTCGCGTGGTACTTGAGTTCGAGTTCCAAAAGACCCGTCAATCCCGAGTTTGCCCAGTTCACGTGTACACCGGCAAGGGAGACCCGACGAAGGCTGTGAAATGCAGAACCTCCCCCAAACCAGGAGACTGGGTGCTTCATTGCAGAAGGGCGGAAGAGCTCGCCCTTTGCAGCAAAGAAGGCGTTACAGCGGGAAAGAAGGATATCTTGTAACATAGGAACTGATTTTATGCGGGAGGTATAGGAGAGGAAGGTAAAAATAGGAGCCCAGGTGTCAGTGAGAAGTTCAACCTTCTGCCACCGGTGCGCAAATGGCAAGATAAGTCGCATGACATTTTCCATATTTTTCCAGCTAAAGCAATGTGACGCTTCGTCCCAATTCCATGCAGGATCTCGGAAATCCATGTAAAGGTGCAAAGGGCGAGAGCGGGAGCGGGCAAGCCAGTCGATGATGCGAAAGAATTGAGTGCGATGAGTAGGAAATGTGAAAACGATGACGGTCCATAATGATGAGGTCGAAAGAGATACGTTTCTCCAGCGTTGACAGACATGGGAAATTGTGGTAGCGTGAAATATAGCGTCATAACAGTCGTGAAAATCGTGGGTTGCGATATGAAAGATGGCAGACAGCAGCTCGTCCGGGATTGCTGCGATTGTCGATGTTCCATGCAGATAGCGTGCTGCACTTAACTTGCGAACGTTGACCAAGGAGTCGACTGACACACTATTCAACATCACGGAGGGCATCTGAAATAAAGACTGTCATCATGGGTTAACGTGCAGGATATGTTGTACTGACCTTGAGGGGATCGAGAATGAAAATTAATAGTGTGACAGTCAACTGGCGGTCGGCTGGAAGTGGGGATGTATCCCGTTTATTAAAAGGTTCAGCCCTTCGTAATCACTTCCGTTACCCGTGATTGGCGTAATATCTGGAATTTGAAAAATAGGATGAATAGAGTGCGTATATGGCAGGTGCTTACCAAAGATTGCGGGAGTAGACAGCGTGTAGGATGGGATCATGGCATGTGCCTCTATGTGCCTCCGCTTCTCTGAGAGCGAGTCATGAGTGCCTAGGTATATAAACAGTAGGTCCTTCGTCTCACGCCCAGCGTCAGCCTAAGATATCACCAAGTGGGACAGCCTTGAACACACATTCCCGCCCTTTTTAGCACAAGGTCTGCCTCGAGGCAGCACTGTGACACCGTCAGGGCTTTTCGCTGGCGATTACGTTGCGTCCGATGTTCAAATAGTTTCAAACTCCGAGGGAGGGTCGTTCAAATCCAGCGCTAGGGGCTGAACATTCCAACCGTTTATATGCATGAGCGGTATACCGGTAACCTTTGTTGCAACAAAAGCTTTGATCACGGAGGACTCAGGCTATGAGCCGTTGTTCCGTGTAAAACCGTCGATAGGTTGTGGGAAATCAAAATGCGACAGGCGATGCCTCGTGCATATAGCCGGAAGAATCACCCTAGAATTTCGCAGATGGACTAACAAGGGCCCCACATAGGCTAACCCGACAACTTGAACACGAACCACTGTTTCATCGAACACGCGAAAAAATTATCAACGGTTGTGGGCGACTGTTTTCCATCAAATATGTGTATGTCACAGCGCGCAGGTTGTTGCCTCGTGCATGCAACCGGAAGTATCACCCTGTTTTTTTTTCTAGGTCGATTGTGGAAACAAAAGGATCCTTTGTGTACAGGATGTAACACAGGTAGTCGCTATTTTATTAAATGGTGATTTGGGACTCGCCAAACGGATATTCAGGACGATTGACAGAGAAGGAAAGCACGAACCAACTTGAAATTGTCTGCGATAGAGAATATTTTTTTTCCCTATGCCTCATGCCCGCGATCAGCTGGACTGCATATTGATAGCTGAGGTGATCACGGGAGGCTGTAGACGCTCCCCAGGCCAAGAATGACATTAATGACGATGAAATAGGCATGCCGGATAAACCGAAGGATGCCGGAGGAAAGTTATTGGTATTTTCCTCGGTGAGAAGAAAATTAACGGTCGGTAATAGATGCCAACATCCACGATAGCGTCGGGGGCGTCCCCCATAACATCGACGCAGCTTTTTGGGACGCAGGTTTAGGTTGGGTATAGTAGTGCGTAATCGGAACATTTCATTGTTCAGTTAAACTCGGTCGAGTTGCCATAGGAAGTCGCAGGACGGCGTAGTGGTGCCGCTTTGGTGATTCTCGCTGTAATTCGAGTGTATTAGTTCTAATCGGGTCAAATGTAATAGGTATTTTCAAAATGTCCACGTTCCCAGATACCACGGGTTACGACGCTGGTGCTATCATGCCATGATGGACATGATTGGAATCGGCATGACGTGAAGATCAGCCACGGGAAGGTACGTCAAAATTGTTATCTGTGGCATCTGCATTTATGCCGCACCTATCATTCTCCTTGATCTTTCGGCGTCACATATCCTTCATGGAAAGGAAGATGACGGGCAGAAGCCGAAGTAGTGATGTGGGGGTCCGGCTTGGTGGGGCTTGGGCTTTGAAAAACCTCAGGCCGAGTCGTGAGCCAACCTGAAAGCCAGGCGAAAGCCGCGGCTCGGCTTGGGTTCATTCACGGCTTTCGGGAACAAAACGGGTCAATATTCAATCTACTATGTTGTACAATAGTTATTTGACATCCGACCCTCAACGAGCGAAAACGCTTACTGTCATTCTCGCTGACGTGTCATGGAACTGTGCGCCGCGTCTTCACGCTTGTCTGCTGGTTGTGCCGCTGGATTTTGCATAGCATGGCGGCGCTGTAATAGGGCTTAGGCCGCTATCAAAAGATTGAATGGTGTGAATGAAGATGCATACCTTGACGAGTGATACTTCTCGATACACGGTAAGCGTGAGTGGAATCATGATCGCAGGTGCCAATGCCCAGTGACGTGTGAACATCGATGCTCTGGGCCGCCCAGTCGTAGCGCGAGCACATACCGCTTATAATAGGCGACGTGGACGGCGTCAGCGAAAGAATAACTGTTGGAACTAAGGATGGACTCCTGGCGGGATCTTGCATAGACTTGAAGGAGCTTAATGCTCGTACCTCGACGAACGACATACAACATCAGGAATTGAGAGGGGTTCAGAATGAGCTTGAGGATAGGCGGAACTGAGTGGGACTGTGGATGAAATTCGGCTCGGCACGATATATAGACCCTGGTATGAGCCTGATTGCACCAAGCGCTGTGAATCGAGATCACCAACCAGGATAAACGGAAGAATCTGTACTAAAGATTTAGACAACGTCATGATCAGTCTTCAGCGCTTAAGCATTCAAAGGTGGCCCGCCAACGTTGAAGGGGACATGGGCGCTGGGCAACTTGAAGTAAGTATGCGTCCTCGTCGTATGTGAGGGCTAATGCGGTCACGTGAGTTATTTATTTGTTTACGCGTTGTTTTATGCACCTACACAACCAAACAAGTTCGACTTTCAGGAAGGCGGTGAAGGGAGAAGGGGCTCTTGTCTCTCTTGCACGCGAGCTTGTCACCGTAAGTCATCTTTCATCGCTCAGGTATGTATTTATTATCTTTTGTTGTTTAATTGACCACTCATGTCTGCTAGATATCCCGTTTCATCTACTAATTCCAAGGCATTGACGAGTTAATTGCTCTCAGAGTCGAACGGCCGTTAGGTGACAGCAAGACCACGACGATCTCATCAAACAAATAATCAAGTTTAAATCAACATAGATCTCCTAACGACACTGACCACGATTCGCGACGATTCATAACGCTTTCTCATTTTCTACTTTGCTTGCTTCATCATTTCGAATCTCGACAACCTGTTTTAATACGATCACGACTGCATATAACGTTTTTCAAGGACCGTTTGTTCATATCATCAATTTCACTTACACACGAGACGAGATGCCTGTGCAACTCCTCTTACGACCAACTGACACCACTCGTGCCCGCTCACCATCACCCTTCGAAACACCTGCCACAAAGTCTGCCATCCCCACCATCCGTCTTATTTCCGCAACGCCCTCACCAGCTGTCGCTCCCATGGTCTGAACCCCAGCCCCCGCCCCCTCTTGCAGCCCAAAGCCCCGTCCTCAGATGCAACGCCTCGTAGGCGTCTCGTACCCAAGAAATCAAAGCTCGGTCTCCTTTCGTCACGAGAGGCTGATCTATCAGATGTGGTCCGCCGCGTTGGCGCACGCGAGTCGAACAAGAATTCCAGCACGGGCCTCGAAATATACGTTGACCCGATGCTCGATCCCGAGATCGGAGAGATTGTCGTAGTCAAGAAGAAGAAGAGCCGCATGGCCTTGGATGGCATGCGCTGGGGTCCCGCTCTCGGCGAGGTGACCAATATTTCCACATGTGAAGGAAAAGGAGAAGAAGGAAAAGAAGAAAGACAAGGAGAATGCATCGAAGGTAAAGGTAGATGAGAAGTCCGGTTGGTGGACCATCGGGAAGGGGAAGAAGGATTCGAAGGAGAAAGAGAGACCGAGATGTAAGCTCATGATTCACACTCCTACGCAGTGATTAACATATTTTATTTGACAGCGCCTGAACCGCCCTCAACTAGCATACCCACCGAGTCCCGAGCTCGGTTCAACTCTCTCGACTCGGGCATCTTGCTTAACAGCCCAGTGTTCTCTGAGCATTCCAAGTCGCCCGCAGAGAACCAACATCTGCGTATACCAACGCCGCCGTCTGCGACGTTCGCGTCCGCTTCAAATGGTGCCACACTTGCTCCACCAGGTGCTCCTCCCCTCGGCTCAGGTAAAGATAGCGTCGCCATTCGAGCCATGCGCTCTGTCCGTTCTCTCGCACGTATTGGCTCCTGGGCACAGCTTAAGAACACGCCCGCGCCCGATGACACTCCTAAACCTACTCCTACCGCCATCAGCGAGCCCAAGAAAAAGAAGAAGAAAAAAAAGGACAAGGGTCAAAACAAGGAGAAAGAAAAGGAGAAAGAGAAGGACAAGGCTGCAACTGTTCGCTACTCCGGCAGCAGCTTCGAAGCAGGGGCGCTCAGCGCTAGCCCTGATAAGAACGCCAGTAGAGCAACTCTTGGTAAGAAGAAGTCCATCCTTGGGTTGGGCCTCCCCTCCACTATGCGTCTCCCGTCTATGCGCAGTGTGTCCTTGACATCGTCGATTGGAGCTGCCCAAGCGCAGAGGTCGAATAAACTGCCGGTGGATTCAGCTGCCACGTTAGGGAGCGGTATTCTGGCCAGGACGAGGACAGGATCCACCATGACAGCGAGCAGTGCTGGCAGCGTGAGGCCTATTTCTGTGTCTTCGGGAGGGTCTTCTTCTGGGGGGTGCTCGGTGAGGTGGGACGAGGTTGGGTTAGAAACCGTAAAGGAGGTTAGGAGGAAGGAACGCGCATTGAAGGAGAAGGACAGCAGCAAGGAAAAGAAAACCAAAGAAACCCGCAAGAGTTCTGATAGCAGGAAGAGGACTCCACTCTCGTCGGTCTTCCCTGGGAGGTTGTCTGACCATGAAGAAGGCGAGGGAGTGAATGAGGAAGAGGCATCTACTCTGCCAATTGTCACCATCGAAGAGGCGACTGTTGACGGCCACAGCGACGTCGAAACACCCATCAAGCGAGTACGTCAAAGGCCGGTGAGCGAGCAGCTTTTGGGACGCAGTAGGCCCAAGGCTATGTACGAGGACGAAAATGGTACGTCAAGCCATCCGTGCAGCCAGTCGATTATTCGCGTCGTGCTGATGCGTTTATTTGATTTTGTGACATAGACTGCGCAGTAATGTCCCTCCTGGATGCAGCCACAAATGATCTTGCGCAGCTCATCAACCGCCTTGATCTCCAAGCGACGCCGGACATGTCGCCGATGAGTGGGCGTTCACCATCTTTGTTGGCCTCTTCCCAAGCTGGCAGCCCCACAAAATGTATCACTCTAGAAAGCCCTGTCAAATGCCTCCGCGCAAACGCTGCGAGCGTCACCTCACTCCGTCCATACGCCAAGGACGATATCCACCGCTGTGGTTCCGTCCATCGGGCAGCACATTGCACCATGGGCAACGCTCAATGCTGGGATCTCACCTGCGAAATCTCCGTCAAGGGACTCACACGAGGCAACACCGACCTTTAGGTTCACGCACAAACGTACAATGAGCCCTGCGCCTGCGGCAGAACCAGAACCGGTCTTCAAAGCACTCCGCCCCGCAAAAAGCAGGGTACCTGTCTCGGGACGCGCTGTGTTCGTAGCGCCCATGAGCTTACCGTTCACGGGTAACGTGGATCGTTCACCATCATCACGCACGTTTGGCTCTGCACATTCAAAGTCTAGTTCCCGTGCGTCACTGGGTGCAAGCCCTGTGTTCAAGAAGGCAAGAGGACACGAGAGGAAACCGTCATCACTTGTACCTGTGGAGCATGTGCATTTGCAGTTGCGTTGCGATACCACCGATGATATCCCGAAACAGCTTGATAGTCCAAGGTTACTGATTCTCCCTGATGCACGCCGAAACCTTGGCCTCGCAGGGACGTTGGGCGGGTCTGTTGGAGGTCAAGAGCTGGATGCGAGTGATCCTGACTCCGACATTCCTGACGAATTGCAGATCATTTTGTCCAGCTCGGATCAGCGAAGCGGATGACACACTATCGTTCAATCCTAACCTGACGACCACGCACCCACCGCTGCCCTCGCCTGGGCTGCCGCCCGAGATGCCACTTCCTTTGCCCAAAGGCTCCGTCACTGAAGTTCCTGTATTCCGCGCCAAAGTCATCGACGAGGACGACCACCATGCTGATATTGAAGAGGCTGGAATGTCCTCTGAAGACGACACCAAGAAATCCTTTGACTTCACGGGCGAGCTGCAGAAGCTGAACGAGTCCGGTGGATCTGACAGGCTTAGCTTCGTTGAGCAGTTGGAGAACGCGTTTCGCACCCCTGCCAAGATTGATTTGCGGTATGACTTTGACCTGCCACTTGATGCACCACCTGTGCCCAAGATCCCGTCGTTGCAGGCGGAACTGGAACGTGCGGGGGATAGCACATTCAGCATGGACTATGTGTCGCAGGAGTTCTTACCTCAAGGCTTCCCGATGGATGTGGACACTGAACCGTCGTTGCTTCCTGGAACGGATAGCTTCGCCACGACAAATGACTGGGAGAAAGAAGAGGAGGAGGACTTCCCTTTGCGCAGAGCTGCCCCAAGTCTTGAGGAACGCTAAGTCCATGAAGTCCATGAAATCGCGACCATCGGATGGACGGCTCAATAGGGACTTTAAGTTTGGCGGCAAGCCATCGTCTGCACCTTCTACTGAAAAGACCGAGGAGCCACTCACACTGTCAGACATCATCCCTCCTTCGGCTGTTGCCAAGTCCCTCTCCTCAACTTCATTAGCTGGTGACGACTCTGCCGTTCTCAATTCCATATTTGCAAAGGCTGTTGAAATTCCCTCAGCCTCCATCTCGCGTCCGCCTCGATTCAGACTCTAGCTCGAAGCGCATCGAGCGTTCAGCTGCTCGTGCTTCAAATGTTCCAGGCCACCGCAGACACTCTTCTGAACTGAGCTTTGCGGGCTTTGACTCATTCGCAGAGGTGAGAAGGGGATTCGAGTTCCATGACCATCGTCCGAATTTCTACCCTCCACCGGGAGCCAATTCGCGTAGCCAGCACAACAAGCACGAGTCTATGTTCAGCATTGCGTCTATCTCGTCATATGGACAGGTCATCAATCATGGGTCCACGGATCCTTTCGACTATGGAGCGTTGCCACTCCCAAGCCTTCGGGAGCGTCCTTCCTCGGACGAGTTCTCTTTCACCATGTCTTCTCTTGATGATACGTTCTCCTTCATCCACAAACAACCTCGCAGGAGACGTGTCGACAGCGATGCCTCCAGCTTCTACTTCCGTGCCTTCAGTTCACTCGCAGATGCATCCATATAATCGTATTGCTGCTCATCGTCGCCACTCATCTTCAGCCTCCGTCTCATCGTTAGGTCCACCAATCAGCTTGTACAACCGCAACAGCTATGGACACAACCGCAGCAGCTATGGATACCGCCGCCGTAATGACTCGGGCGCTAGCACAAGCAGCGTTTCCCAACCATACGCTCATGGCGGGCGTGCCTCGTGGGCTAGGCATCGCCCCGACTTTTCCATTGACTCCATGCTCAGCGACTTCTCGGAGATTAACCTGGGGAGGCCAGGGCTGGGAGACAAGATGCTTGACTCTGCTTTGGATCGCGGGATGCCACTGACTGCCATTTCTGCATCACCGCCTGAAAGCCCTGCTGGGAGCATCCAAAGCGAGCAGTTCCGGGCGTGGTCGATACGTGAATCGCATGTCCTATGATTCGATCATGGGCGAACCTCAGCCGGCGCCCAACATGGAAGACTCGCTCTTTGAGAAGACTGGCCATAGGACATCCGTTTCTTCGTCTGACTCTGCGTTCTTTGCTGTAGACTCCTCGCATGCACCGCCTCAATTCAAACGGTTATCAAGCTACAGCATTGCTAGTGTTCACAGTCCGCCGAAGGAAGATGACACAATGATCAGCGTGAGTTGTTGGAATCATACTTGTAAACTGGTTGTTTATGTTTTCCTCTCGCAGATGCTTGGCGGTGGCCATGTTCGACGCCGTTCCGTAGGATCCATGATCGAAGCCTCGCCTTGTCGCCAAGTTGAAAAAAGGAAATATATGGCATCTGACGCCCCTCAACCAAACTTCCGTCGTAAGGGTGACGACTACGAATCTCCGAAGAGTCGAGTTCTTGAAACCAAGCCGTCGATTGCCTCCACTGCATATTCAGAGAAGTTCGGTGACGAGCGCATGATCAGAGCAAAGCACGGTCTCTTGGAGAGGCAGAGTTTGGAGAACACAGTGTTGATCGCAGAAGGAGAGGAAGATCTGTCAACATCTTGTGAGTTGGTCGTTTGAAATGGGTGTCATTGTCTTGCTCACTGAGATCCTAGTCCGTATCCCTGTCTTCACACGCCCTCCTTGCGTAGGCCGTTCTCGCTCCAGCACTTGTACGTCTATGAGTTCTGGTGCTGAGACCCCTCCACTTTCAATCTCGGATGGATATTCCTCGTTCTCGGAAGGCTCGCAGTCCAGCATTGACCTTTCACATGTCAACTGCATGCTTTCTAACGTCACTCACCCTCTGTCGAATGCTACCTTTGACCGAGTCCGACCACGCGCTCGCGGCCACGGTCATCAACGACGTATCTCTCAGGCCCGTGCATCACGGACGTCCATTTATGAGACTATCGAGGAGGAACACACAACATCGCTTCCCCCGACTTCGTCACTTCAGTCGCCTCTAGGTCCTGCGACAAACAATATCCAACTTCCTGATTCGGCGACAAAGATAATTGGTCGTACTCCTGTGTTTGTTGCTGATCCCGAGACTGCGTCTGTGGATTCAGTGTCGTTATGGGATGACGAAAGGGGAATCACGGCGCTACGCAAGTACTATGCGCTTCGCGACGAAGCTGAAGATACGGTAACAGAGAGTCAGCGAGTCTGGCTCGACACGCCGTTTTCCGTCTTCGCAGTTCAATGTGAGTACTTGCTGCCTGTTTACTGTACTGTGATGTGCTGAATGCCGCTCTCAGCATTTGATCCTCCTAGTCATCCTTCAGGCATGCGAGCGCTCTTAGAACATTCAATACAGAACTACGGGCCTCTGCCTTCAGATTTGCGCCCTCGACGCACGCGATCTCGCGTCAACTCTCGACCCTCGCCCTACCCTAGGACTTTCAAGACCTCGTCCACATCTTCTCCGGCCACCGAGCAAATGAGGGCAGCCATTGTTGCAGCTGTCGCTCCCAGTGACAATATGCGCGCCCAAGGACAACCTAAGGCGCTGCAACAGATTTCCGTCAACCCTAACATCATGTCGCATGCGGTCGAAAACACCAAGGCGGGCGAATTCATGAAGGACGCAGCGATATCACCTGGTAAACTCGAGCGCATGTTTGGCCTCCCACCCCGTCCCCGCGTGGGCTCGGTCGCACGAAGAGCTGCTTTGGGTTGGGCTAAGAGGAGCAGTGGCCGCAATGGGTTGGAGAATAAGGAGAATGCTAGCATCGGTAACATCTCTCTGGCAGCTGTTCCTAGTAATATGTCGCAAGGCTCGGTCATGACGTGAGTGTGATATCGCATCTATGTATGTACATTCTGCTGACCCGTTTCTATAGGCCATCGGAAACATTAAGACTCAACCGACCCCGTCCTAGGGGAAGGCCCACTCCTGCTTCGGTGAGGCCCATCCGTATTTGACAGGGCTGGAAAACCTGTCGTTGTCCTCTTACGTTAACTCCTTATCACTATGCTATGACTATTCTATGCATATCCTTTCTTGCTTTTCTGATACAATCAAGCTCATTGAAAACATTGTCCTGCAATCGATGTTTGTATATTTCGTCTCCCATAATATTGCCGGGTTCTCGGCGATAGTAACACGTAGCGAGCAGTGAATGATGTAAATAAATTTCTTGAAATTTCGGTGCTATTGCTCGTACAGGGTCACAATTGGCTTCCTGTATAGACGAATAGGAATGAACTATTATTCTTCAGATTCTATTGCCATTCTCGCGCGACCTAAGGAATCAGGATAATTGTGCACCTGTGCCTGTGTTCTGCTTCTGGTCATCACTCGAGAGTAAATAACTTATCACAAGTCTCTAGTCCGAATGCCGCCACTTGCCCCTGCTCGAGTACTGTCAGGTCAGCAGTGCGAAAGGATGCTGTAGAATACGACCTGTAACAATGACATGCACTCCTCCCAATCCAAGATCCATGATGTACTGTTGTGATCAGTGATGTACACCAAACGATAACAGATCTCGGCGGTAACGGCCTCAGTAGTCAATTGAAATGTCGAGGTGTGAAAAATTCAATAGCCATTGGACAGGTGACCCACCAATTATAGAGAATGATGTCCAGGACGCTGATGTGATTGCCCGCTCTCAGATTGTGCGTCATTTGATCTTTTGAACTCTACTTGACGCTGACCTTGTAAGTAGGTCCTCTCATGCCAGCCACGCGGTCAGACCATGTGGCGACTTAATATGCCCGGAAGTCTGCGAGCACATCATCTCCGTAGTGTGAATTAATTAATCACATCTATCAGATCTAGTAGGATTTGGACGAGGTGTTACTTCTGCTGATCGTGTTGTGGCCTTCGAAAAGGGGGCACTGCAAGGCTTCTACTCACAGAACTCCCCTGTTGCATGTACAATGGAAGAAAAAACAAGCACAATGTCTATATCACAAGATGCATTGTTGACTGGAATCCTGATGAAGTTTTCACGACGTCAGCAAATGTGTGAGGGAGTGTGAGATTGACATACAATTGGATACGAGCTCGACAGCTGCGGCGTCTGCCTCTGAGTCCGACGTAAAATATCTTGCACAGACGCAAGCACCTGGAGGTAGGTCTGGGTTGGGTTGGTCGCTAATGCCAGTAAGTCGCATAACCGTCATTGCTAGAATACTACTCACTGAGTGACGAGATGAAGGCCTGAAAGTATATTTGGTCACAATAATATTCACGAACGAGTTTTTAATGACTACGCACAGAAGACATGGCTCCGAGAAACTCTCCGCCCCTTATGATGACGCCCCCACTACCTTGGAAGTCGCTACAACTCGCAAACAATACCTGACATCTGACCGTCAAACGGACTTCCAGTCGAGTACATTTCACTTACCACGTGAGCTTGCGGGTACCTTGTAAGAGCTCGAGAGTTCGCAGCATGCCGTTTTGAGTGACTACTGACTTGATACTGATTAAATGATTAGACAGACTCGAATGCATTGACTCATATCTTGGGACTGACGATGTATCGCAAGTCTGTGCGTGAAACAGATCAATCAAAGAGACACAACTTAGCAATACAACCGCTTCATACCAAGGACAGTTCCAGAATAACATGACTAGTGTTCATGATATCATCGGTCCAACTTGAACATTGGCAACTAAAACTTACATCAAACAATGCCTGTTGGTAAAACAAAATTGAAGTCGCTTGACGCATAAAGCTGCTCACGGACTTACAATAAGGCGGCAACCAGCAGGTAAGGGTTTGACCTATGTCAAAGTTAGTATTACCTTACAGTCTGCGTTGTCAGTACTTGCCATTGCATCGTATAGGTCCTGTTTGAGAATTTACATCGTATCCAATCAAAGCAAATAACTATATAAACGCACCTCGGTCACAATCTCACCAGCGTGCTCCCAGTCAACCGGATGGATGGCTTGTTACAGATCAGTATTTCTCAAAGTTTGGACTATCGTAACTGTTACCCTTTTCAAATCCATCTACACGGTGGCCATCCACACGGGGACCATCCAAGTCGATGATTCGTCCTCCATGTCCAGAGTCTGGATGCATCATCAATTGCTTGGTAAAATTACGGATACACGACTCACAGTGGAAGAATAAGCAATCTCCAGGTTGGGCGTCTTTCACTAACCACCGTAATGCGCTAAGGATGTTCCGTTTCGTCGGCATGTATCTCAGATTGTATGGCTCATCTGTGAGCACCATAATGTCCTCTTTCGCATAATTCCAGGAGGCTGTTGCACGGTTGCGTTACTTGATACTGGGTGAACAAGAGAAGATGAAGATGAACGGACACTTTAGAAATTCTGCCATGTTCCAAGCATCATTCACACAGCCGCGAAGCTCTCTATCCTGGCTTTTGTAGTTTATGCCAATCTACCCAGAAATAAGCCGCACAAGGACGAACTTGAAAGGACTCACACATAATGCCTTCTTCTTCCTCGTATGTGGAATCAACACTTTGATTGTCTGCGGAATCTCTATCTGGTCGCTCGGGTCACAGTTGCACCTTGCGACGAAAGGTCGTCGTACAGCACTATACGGTGAGTGTACGTGATTTCTCAATGACTCAGTACTCTCTCTTGCATGCTGCTGAAGAGATTGAGTTGACTGCGTCCGTAAGCGGTGAAGCCGTGAGGTCACAGGATCATGTTGTGCTGGCCAAGCATCTGGCGCAGTCCTCTCGTTGTACGTGAAACGGTAGGAAGGAACCGATGGAGGAAGGGCTGCATGTGCACTAGAGGACGTCAGGGGAGGATGTTTGCATACCAGCGATCGGCGCGTTTTTGATAGCCGTTGGTCTGCTAACTGATGTGAACAACTTGATCACGTGAAGTGGAATGAGCTTACTTCGGAGATGGCGATCGCCGCACAGGAACGACAGGGGTGGGTGAGTATGGACTCCTTGATCTGTCCAGCCTTCCAAAAACGAATCAATACTGGGCAGGTGCATCGTGCATTGACGGTTGCATTACCCCTTGTTTCGATGACTGTTAAGTCATGGTACTACGTTAGTGAGGACGTAACGATCAGGATGGAAACGTACGAAATCAGTCTGGAAGGAGGGACGGGCATGCGTGTTTATCGATGAGGGTGGCTTATCACTACTACCTACGATTCAGCGTGCGTGGGCAAGTAGCCAATGAAGGATCGAAACACGCGTTATATGAGAGCAAAGATTATCAAGCTCCCGCCGTCATAGCGCTAGATGATCTTGTCAATTTGACTATGACACACTGTCACTAAGTGATGATACATGCCAGTCTCGGCGAGCTTCGTTTGACAGGTGCATCGCTAGAAAACGACGGATAGGAGGCAGACGAAGTGCTTATTTGCAAGACGGTACGGAGATTATATGGAGCTTGCGATCAAATAACCCCCTGTTGCCAGACAATAATCACTCTCGCGAGCATTGGCTACCGAAGAGGCGCGATAAGATACAAAAGCAGCGTGACCTGTGCCAATCTGGCCAATCATGGCTGTGCAAATGTTAGATGAACGGCATGTGAACCGCATCCAGGTTCGGGAAGGCTTCGGGTACATAGCCCAGCTCTGGGTTCTTTGCTGATCGATGAGAAGTGTCCTGAGCATCTGGACCGAATCAATTCGTACTCACGAGCGGCTTATATCGGAACGATGTCAACGAGATCAAATATGCACGATCATGTTAACATATAAGGAGTGATTACGACTCAATCCCATTCCCAAGCGTTCAGATATAGAAAGGCAATGTTGTATCCTGGTGCAATATCAGTGGCTATAGTCTGGATAAGAACACATCAACAAACGAGAGGATTTGAGCAGGAAAATTGAGGTTCTTGTCTGGCGTCCGGTAAGGTCGCACGAACGAACGCGCGTATTTGTTCGAATATACTTTGGAAAGCTAGAGCCTGCGTGCAAGCTAACAAAGCAAATATTAGCCAGTCGAGCTAGCAATAAGAGCGCGACACGGACAGAAAACATGTATGAAAGCCTTCAAGGGAAGATTAGAAGGAACTGATGTCATGGTAGGTTTACCCACAAATGTCATAAGTCCGCCAATAGGTTGACCAGGCATTACGACACTCTCACTCTCTTCGGAATCCCCACAACCTGAGAAGCAAAACTGTTCGATGTTGATTCAGAAACACAACTCGCAAAAACTGGTTCTTACAACTTCCGCCTGGGAGTGCTTCCTGATGCGAGCATCGGGCGTAACGCCATCGGTGAACTTGCATTGTCTAGAGTCATACTATTGTGATGATCAGACAAAATCACAAAGAAGAAACTGCTTCTCTCACAAGGTAAGGCAAATCTAAGAATTATTCAGTATTTGTCAGCGATGAAATTGATTTGGGGCTCACCAAGCACCGTGCCGGAATGGCATGACTGAGGTCATTCGACTTTTGAAGTTACGGTATCAAGGAACGTGCTTACATCAAAGAGCGCCTATACAATTATGTTATTCGGTGATGTTGCGTCATTGATCACAAATTCGTACCGTCAACCGTGAGCCAGCAGCCAGCGGCTTTACCTGCGGGCGTTCTATCAGCGACTATTTGAAATACCATGTGAAATACCATGGGGTGTTCTTCGCGTCACGGTACTAACCATAATTTCGTGTATTTCCTGAGGAGCTAATCAGCCTTATCCTTTGATCAAAAAGGCAAACGCCCTGACATCGTCGTTAATCACACCCGACTGTTGATAATCGACTGGACATATGACTTTGTGCACGTCAACAGTAATCTTTCTAATAAGGCCTGAGTCCTACATTCATCATAACCATCAACTTCATCGCCATCCAGGTCGCGGACTTGGCCCCCATGCCCCGAAACTGTGTAAGACATCGCGTGATTCACAAGACCAACAGTTCCATCAAAGGAAGTACGTACAATAGAAGAACATGGAGTCACCTGCCCTTGCATAAAATGCCAGGCGGCGCATTTCAAGTAAAATATTGTGCTTAGTTGGCAGGGGCCACAGCCGTCATCAATTAATTGTACAATGTCTGCGGGATCGTATCCCCATTGATCTAGAAAGGGGTCACTGATTCGCCACCGAATCGCCAACAACTGCACGTACTAATAAGGCATGGCGAGAGATTATGAATGTCATTATTGCACCCTCTCAGTTCATAGCGTTGACCTTTGTAATTGATTCCAATCTTATACACGGTTTCAGAAATATCGTTGGTTTGCAACACATTATGTAACACCCACCAACAATGCCCGCTTTCTTCCAGGAGACGGTGGACTGGGTTGTGTGTACATCGGAATATAAGAAGCTTCTGACACGCGTCGGTTCAAATACGGTGCTCCAGAAGAACGAGGGCACCTCGAGAATTCGGCGAGGTGGTGGTGGCCTTGGACTGTGATTTCTTTTAGGACATTTGTCTTTTGGATCCTTGATGGCTTCCACGAAGCGCACGTCCATCGACGTTTATGGCATGTGTGGTGATCCTGATGAAGGAGGTCAAACGCAGCGGGGAAAGAATTATCATCAATTTCGATGACTTCGGGTAACATGGCGTGCTGGGAAGGAATTAGAATGAATCAGAAGAGTGACTGGACGATGCAGGGTCGGTGACGGCCTTCACTGCGAGCTTTATAACTTAGCAACCGGTCAACATGTTTGCTCTCACGTCAAAATTGTTAAAGAGATGAAGCATTGTACTCGTGCGAGTTGGTCGACTGCAATGCGGGGGAAGAGCTTGTCATTGCAAACAATGCCAAGTACAAGGTGCACGAATAGAATGATTGTCGTCATGATGCGGGGGGTCATGGCAGCCACCATAGTTAGGGACTTGAAACGGACGGTTGTCGAATATTAAACCTTTGACAATATTAGTGGCATATCAACCCTGGTAATCCTGTGAACGGTAGTTGGGGAAAACATCACAAGACGTAGTACGTACAGACGACTCATAGAAGAGTGTGTAGAGCAGAATTTGCATACCCAAGCTGCCTTTCGAACATGGGGCATCTACGTTGTTAGACGCCTCGAAAATATGATCAAGTTGGTCGGGTACTGATGAATTCAAAGGGCAAACAAGTATAAATAGTCGTAGTATCCTAAGTATTAGTCGTAAATGCCAATACGCAGGCAATAACCATATCGTCCCATGACTTGTTACCCCCAAATCCCAAAATCCCAAGATCTCATAACCGAGCCCATCTACCACCATGGATGACAGTCTCCACCGTCCCACGAGAAAACCCTGTCTGCATCGCCTACGACCATCACACTTCTTGCCATCCATGCACCATCGTACACCTTTTCGATCCACCACCGGAGCACGGGGTGACGCATAAACCACTTGAAGTAGAAATAAAACCTAACATGATACATGAGCCAATATCCCGATAATGTAGCATGCGACAAACCTCCAGTCGTAACCGTTGATCACCTTTGGGTTAAGATATATGCGCTGCAGATTGAAACTGTCGCCTCATATCATATGGGAGCAAGAAACTTTCTGACGAAAAACATTCCCCTGGCGCAGACGCGCGGAATTGTATTGGGGGTGTCAGAGCAGGACTCGGACCCTGCATCGAGGCATTGTGTGCTGCTGGGTGGGTTGCCGGCAATTCGTATGGTAGAGGATCGTTGGAAAGCGTGCGATTAGAGCGCAAGGCTACCGGGAGAAGAGGATCTGCAGTGAAGACAACGATGCCGTTCCAGCAGGTGAATACGGGCACAGGAGACCCGGCATGCATTGCTTGATAGTCAGCTTCGTCGAAGAAATATGGCCAGCTAGATACCGAACAGACTGAATTAGATATATGGGAAAATAGAATTCGCAACTCACATTGCACTGGCTAGCTTTGCCTGTCGATCTCGAAGAACCCACATATCATATGCGCTTTACCACGATTAGAATGATAGATGTGCCGTAGCAGCTGGATGTGCCTACCCAAAATGACCCATGTCTAAGCCACATGCCATGTCATAGTCCCCATCGTTCGTTTCTAACAGCTCGACAAAGCTCTCGGGCTCGATAAATATGTCATTCGAGAACACCACCCTATCATACCCTCCTACTAGCAAAGGCTCCATTGCACGATTACGCGTGGCCGATAGGTATTCAATGCGTTTGTTTCCGCCCAAATCGTCGGGCTTTGGTACTGCTTTATCTCTTGTGAGTATGCGCCGTGACACGCCCAAAAGTGCAAGGTCTGCATCTAGTGCTTCAAGGAGCTGAGGGGAACTATCGGTACTGTTACTCTCAACGACAGAGACGAACACGTTGTCTGGACCGAGATAGTGAATGACTTTGATGAGAGTGTCGTGCCAGTATGGAATAACATTTTCGTTATCGTGGAACATGGCGGTAATGAAAATTTTCTCTGAAGCGGGATAAATTGCATTCGAGTTATGAATTCAGAGGAGCTCACCTTGCTTTCCGTACCCTTGTTTTCGAGGATGTGCAACGGCCTCCTGAATGGAATCCCTGTACCGCACGTCCCCAGGCTGCTCGTAGTGGACTCCGACCCACGTGCTTACACAAAACAAGACGACATACGCAAAAAGCTGTATCTTCCACGGTTTGAGATAGGGCACCAGACGCGGAGTAGCCTTAGGAGAACTTGGTCTAGATAATGAGCGAACACCAGCACCTTCTTCCGCATGTTCCATGAACGCATTTTCTTCCTCGTCAGCGTTAAAAAGATCACGTCCGCCAATAGAGCTGTCTCGATGGAACATAACATACCCTTCCTCGGAAGGGTGCCGGGCCCCAAAAGCCTTATTCCACCGATCGATAAGCAGGGGAAGTAGGAATCGATAAGCTAAAAGACGGAGTATTTCGACGAATGCAAAGATGGGCACTATGAGGATGAGGAGGAGTATGAACCTCCAGCTTGAAGGAAAGGCAGGTTGCCATGTGTAGTCTTCTGGGAAAAACTTGTCGGAAAACCGTTCCTCAGTTTTGTTGTAAAGGGTGATGAAAATATAGAGGGAGACAAGACCAGGAAAGCGGATTATTGCGAGGAAGATACGACAAATAACATAGATAAAGGCCTTGAGCTTAAGCTTCGTTATGGACATGCGTAACACGGGAAATGAAGCCAGCGCTCACTAAACGGGAATGAAGGAAGGGGGAAAGATGAAGTCAGTAGGCTGTGGTGCATCATATAATCCAACTAGCTGGTTGTGTGATTCTTATATCCCGAAAGAAGGCAGACCCTATCTATTCTCAGCCATGATGCGTTGCACTGCGCGGGTGCTAACTTGAGAGTCCAAAAATAGAACACTTGCTCCGCTACAGTCGCATTCACATCGGTACAATCCTCAATATAGATTTTAAGAATACTATAGCTACACTCGTACATCACAAGTCGATGTCTACCGAAAGTCCATTGGCAACCCCAAGAGCTGGGCTTTGTAAGGATGCGTACCTCCAGGCCTGGCCAGGCTATATCCACGCTAGAGCGCTTCAATCGAGACTCGTCTCGCATGCACAAATGAGCCAATCACGGACAACAGCACGCCCCATCCAGGATAAATCGTCGACGTGAACGACAGAAGTAAAAAAAAAAGTCTGCAGGATGATTGACAAGTAGAAGACGTATTGATAATCGACAGATGTGTCCGAGTTCAACATCACACCCATGCCTATAAACTGTCAGAACCTCGCATAGGACCAGAGGTAGACTCGACAAATGTTAGAGGAAGACACAAGTCCAAATCCGTGCGAAACCAACAGAGTGCATTCCCACAGTCTGACGAGTAGCGGGAGGCCCCAGCTACTTATTATCTAACAGGTGGTGACAACATCCTGTGTAACAACGTCAGTTTGATGTTTCATCTCATGACATGTGACTACTAGTTGACTCATCCCTGATGATGGGTGACTTAGGTCGCCGTCGCTCTCCATCTCTTCAAAATTCAAATAAGGACTCTCGCGTCGGTCCTTACAAATATTACTTCGCCGTGCTGTGTGCTGGCCCGTTGAATTCGGTGACCGACAGCGCTGAAGTGCTATGAGTCCCGTCGTGAGGGTAGCGCTAAGCGCTAGTAAGCCTCGACACCTTCCAAAAACAGATGTCCTTGGCGAGTCTGACAGAGCTGCCCCAGTCCAGTCAAATAAAGCCGCTGTTCTAGCAGAGATGCTCTTTTTTCATCGCTTTCCCAGTCAGAACTCCCTCTCCAGGTCTTCTTGGCTTTTCTCCTCACCGTAAGTCACTCAACCATTCATTAGGACTATATAAGCTTTGTGCTGGAATGTGCTCACCGTGATCTCCGCCATGCCAGGTTGTCCTGCTTTCCTGCTGTTCCCGCGCTTTAAGTCGTATACCCAAGTTAACACAATGATGTGGGACCTACGCGGCAACGATGCCGCTCAAGATCGGCGACGTTCTCCGAATCCTAGGTTTCCAATGCCATCGTGAGTTACAACACCCTTGATCTGCGTTGTTCACAATAGCTAAGTATAATCATATAGCCCTGGAATCCCACCAGTGAGGTACGCAACGGTCTGCATGATACAGTAAATCGTTACTGATAAAAATGACTATCACAGAGACCTGCATCAATCCCATGATCCGTTTCCCCGGCCATTTGAACCTCTCGGTCTGCCCAACGCTCCGCGATCAGCGTCACCAAAGTGAATTTTTTCCGCCTTTTCTGCAATGAACGTGTTGACAGGTTCACAACGCATTTCCCCACAGTCCCCGGTAAGCTTCAAATTAGATATCATATTCATATGGTATTATTCAATCGGCCGCTTTCATTACTTCATTGATCTCTTACAGCATGTTTTCACATGAGAATCCCCCTTCGCTTATCCAGGAAGGCTTTCCTTCTCGCGCGCGCGCACCTCCCCCACCGATCCCCCATGCAACGCGACCACCCCCATCTCCCTATATGTCTCTACCACCACCTCACCCTTTGATGTCTCGTCGTCCACCGCGTCCTCCACCCATGCCTGTCCCGCAAATCGTTTCAAATTCATTCAATGTCCAACCGTCATCCAGAAATAATCACACTGATGCACACGCTCACACTCAAGTTCATTCTCACAGGCACGGGCATCACCAACATTCTCATTCGACTTCTGCCATACCTAAGCCTATTCGTCGCACCACCTCGCAGCAGCTCCGTTTCGCGCCACCCACCCAGCCTTCGTCCCACTCACTTCAGCACGCAAGCAGTTCGCAAAATTTGCACCGCTCACGTTCTTCACAACATCTACGTCCGCCAGCGCCTCACTCAGGTCCCTCAGGGAATGGTCAGCGATCGCGCTTAAACTCGGCAAGTAGCGCGCATAGGCCTATCGTTCATCCTCAGCAGCAGGTGCAGCCACATATTCACCAACAGGTCGTGCATCATAACGGTCATGTTCATTTCCAATATTCCAAGTGCAACGGGCGGAAGAAAGCACTATGCGTGAGTGAAGATACAATATTAGTTGAAAATTCAAGTTGAGTCTTTTTTGAGATCGGAATTAACTATACAGGTCAACGACGCGAGCTTCGGGGCTGTATCAACGATGCGCACAATGTGAAGCGGTTTTTAACATGTGCGTTGTTGGTTGATTGTTGCAGCGCCGATACTCATACCTTGCCCTAGCCAATTGGGGCTACAAAAACGGCGATATTGTAATGTTGGTCGATGACACCAACAATTCGAGGCAAATGCCAACAAGGCAAAACATTCTGGATGCGATGCGTTGGCTTGTGAAGGACGCTCATCCTCATGATGCACTGTTTTTCCACTGTACGTTATTCTTTCGCACCTTTGGGTATAATTTCCGAATATCCTCCTCGTCGTCTAGACTCGGGCCACGGGGGACAGATTCCAGACCAGGATGGGGATGAAGCTGATGGACTTGATGAAGGTAAGGGGTATTCTCTTCTCTTTAGAATATCGTTAGATTTCATCACTTGCAGTTATATACCCTGTCGACTACAAGAAGGCCGGATTAATTGTTGATGACGTGAGGACCTGCTATTTTCAATCTGTTTATGCTCATAACTCCAATGCAGGAAATGCACCGCATTATGGTACGCTTGTCGCACGATAGGAGAAACACCCCGGTCTGAGAAATTTCACAGGTCAAATCATTGCCTGCGGGTTGTCGTTTGACTGTAAGTCTTCACATTTAGCTTCATGTTCGGAGCTTATATAACCCCATCCATCCAGGCTATCTTTGACGTAAGGTCGTCTCACAACGCGCTCATCAGACAAATCTGATAGATTTCCCTAGTCTTGTCACTCAGGAACGGCACTAGGTAAGTACATCGTTCCGCAGTGATAAAGGTTGACTGAAAGTCCATGACTGCTAGATTTGCCATACATCGTGAGCACGATACTTGCTTCAGTCAGTATTGGGACTGATCATCTCGCAGTATCATTCGAATGGACGCCTCAAGGGAAACAGTACAACACCGCAGTTTCAAGCAGCGAAGGCCACAAATGCTGACGTGGTAAGTGACTGCCTGGCATTATATGCTCTGTACTTCTGCCGCTTGCCTTCTATCTAGATATCATTCTCGGGCTGTCGCGACGATCAAACTAGTGCTGATACAAGACAGGGTGGTATGGCTGTTGGGGCTATGAGCTACGTGAGCGATATATTCATTGAAATCTCTCCACCTGTTTGCAGCTGACATGCATGGACAGGCCTTTGTCAAGTCTTTATGTTGGTCGGGAGTTTTGTTTCTTCTTGCATGAGACTGACTTAGCGCACAGCAAGGAATCCAGTACAAACTTACCAAGAACTGCTCAAGTCTATTAGGGACATTTTGAAGCAACATTATCAGCAGAAACCGCAACTATCGAGCTCGCACCCCATTGTAAGCCTTGCAGTTTGTAGTGTGGTAGATTCAGATTAACACCGCTTTTCTCAGGATACTAATTTACGCTTCATCCTCTAACGTGACGATTTTGGGCATTATTATTATGCTGCGGTGCTCGCAATACTTATATCATATTAACCAACTTAGTGTTCTATGTACGAGACTAGTATTTATGTATCAGTCTTGGTCTCTCGTTGACGAGATATGTATGTCTAGTTTCGAGCGGTGAAAACGCACCGAGGGTACTTTGAATCAACCCTTCTCTTGTTCCGCATCACTATATTTTCACGTACTCTTGTCCACAATGATTCTAATGATTACCCAAGAGTCAAGTTACCCCTGCGCTTGATATTTATTGCCTTGTTTAAATATCAAGATCAACTAGAAGCAATCTGCTTCTCGGCACTTGAGGTGAGCAATGTTTTCAAAGTATACCATGGCTCCGAGGACGACTCAGAATGTAAGTAGTGGCCTGGCGTGAACAGACAGGGACGCACCAAATCATAGTATCCGAGTCACCGTGGAAGTGAGTTTACATTACTGCTGCGCACTGACAGGCACAACTCACTGTCACGCTCCCGCTAGCCCTGCCTTTAACTAACAAGGTTAGCCTTGACTAAATGTATGTCCCGACCATTATAGGGCTATAATGGAGGTGGCGGTCAGCCGCCACTACCTTTTTTGGAAGGAGATTTCTCACGCATCTAGCCGCCACCTTGCCGCCACTACCTATTTTGGATGGAGATTCTCACACATCCTGCCGCCACCTGTCCACCTGTCCTTCTGTCCTTCTGTCCTTCTGTCCTCCTGTCCTTCTGTCCTTCTGTCCTTCTGTCCTTCTGTCCTTCTGTCCTTCTGTCCTCCTGTCCTCCTGTCCTCCTGTCCTTCTGTCCTTCTGTCCTCCTGTCCTCCTGTCCTCCTGTCCTCCTGTCCTCCTGTTCTCCTGTCCTCCTGTTCCTCCTGTCCTCCTGTCCTCCTGTCCTCCTGTTCTCCTGTCCTCCTGTCCTCCTGTCCTCCTGTCCTCCTGTTCTCCTGTCCTCCTGTCCTCCTGTCCTTCCTGTCCTCCTGTCCTCCTGTCCTCCTGTCCTCCTGTCCTCCTGTCTCCTGTCCTCCTGTCCTCCTGTCTCCTGTCCTCCTGTCCTCCTGTTCTCCTGTCCTCCTGTCCTTCCTGTTCTCCTGTCCTCCTGTCCTTCTGTCCTCCTGTCCTTCTGTCCTCCTTCTGTCCTCCTGTCCTCCTGTCATTCTGTCCTCCTGTCCTCCTGTCTGTTGGATGTTCAACATCGACTCTGCGTTCCTTTCTCTTGGTTATGTACAGTTCATATTCACCTTGCATGCTGTCTCTCACTTACATTGTTTCTTCACTCACCTATCTTATTTCTCCTCATGATGGTATCGTCATGGGAAGCATGATCACATTTCTGAGTTGCTCAGTATGAAAAATTAGGTTGGTTGGGCTACCAAAATGCAATACACATTCATATGCAAGAACCATGGATGTCACATCAACACAAATGCTGAACTGGGAGATCTTCCCAGTCAACCATCTGTCAAGCCTTTACCTCTCAATCCAGTCAATCCCATGGCCGCTGAAATAATGGCTGCTTAAGGACATGAAGGCTAAAGAGCTCATCACTCATCATCTCAGCTCCTCTGTCACATCTCTCATTCCCAGTCCACACAATGTTACTGCAGGTAAG